TGCTGCCCCAACTTATATTTTGATCCTATCTCCATTATATTGCCATTTGACCTTATGAATTGTGTCAACATAGCATTAGATTTCACTGTTTATTTCATACCGTGAAGTTCCCTATATATTTTTTTTTATTCTGGGGTATTTCGTTAAAATTCTCCCAATTCCTACTCTGTATAATTTCCGTTTCCAAGGTATTCTAGCATAGGCGAAACAGAGCCTTTCATTTCTATTTGGAAGTGTTCAGTGAGGGTGATAATGTCTTGTATATGATTTAGTACAATGAATTTTCCTATAGAAAATAATGATATTTAGACGTGGCGAATTGTTGATACCAGTATTATTCCTTGTGAGGCAAATAATATATCATTTATCGAAAAATCAGAACAGGCTGGGAACCAGTGTCGTAAACTGTGTATTGGATGTTATAATAACAATTAACAAAAGACTGTATAATTAAAACTTTCTTGAAGATGAGAACAGCTACATGTCAGAGAGTTTCGTGGACCGTATTTTGTTCACACCGGTCGATAATAAAGCGCTATATGAATATGAATAGGAGTTGACTTTGTCATCGTGTGAAGTCCAACTAATTACAGAAGCTCCAAAGCGAACCTTTCCAGGGTCGACATTCAAAGGTTTTTATTAGCTGTCTGGAACTCATTTCTGAGTTCTCATGTCTCAACCGCTATCCACTTAAACAACGGGTGTTTCAGTTTGTTCGTTATCCTCCGAGAAATACTTTACAAAGCCGTAGGGCCGTGTGGATGTCATAATGTGAAAGCAATGTGAGACCAAGTCTTCGCTTCCGACAAATTCGCATTGTGAGTTGTTATGTTTAATTTGAACATGATACTTGTAGTGTATTTAAAATCGAATTTAATTGTAATTCAAATGGACTAACAATTTTTTAGCTACCCGTTAACATGTAATGTATCCTCCTTTGAGCTGCTACTGGTGTGTTATTTTCATACGGCTTTAATAAAGACATTCACAGTTACGTCTGTCACAAACAGACGTATGCAGTCATCGCTAGTGACGTAAAAGTACTTAAAATTAACTCCGATTTATATTCTAAGCTCAAAGGATCCATTTTTGTGCCAGAAATAAGAAGCTTTCACACAGTTTTTCATAGAGGACAGTATTTTTAGGCATTTTTACATTTCAAGGCAACAACCTTTTAAACAAATACTAGACTACACGGTGCCACAACCGATAAAACAGTCATTATCAGCACTGCTGATTAGCTTTGTTAACGCTGGAATATTTTATCATCAATATCGGTCACAGAATGCACGTTTCCTGCTTGATGGAAAGCAGTCGACCACCGCACCTATTCAAGAACAAGTGTGTGAATTCTCGAGGGATCTGAAAGAACATCCTAGTAGTCTCTGATGATGAACGCCTTTGACATTCAAGCAAGTCTTTGTGATAATTAAGTGGGCCAGCACAGAGTCACGCAGTAACATTAAGCTGGAGGATGCTTAGTTATACGGAAAGGCGAATCGACCAAAACGGAGAAAGAATAAGGACCAGGAGTAAAGGTCTAGGGTCGTGCTGTTTCTGGGAAGCATTCAGAGGGTGGTGATGTATTACACACAAACCTCTGGCATGGGTATAGATGGGAGGATAATATTAAAATGTAAACAAGTAGAAGTTGTGGATTGATTTCAACTGACTCGTGGTAAAGGTCAGGTTCAGGTTCTTGTGAACGCGGTCCCCAGGTTACAGAAGAGCCGGTGAAATTTTGACCAGCTTAATAACAAACAGTTTCTGGAGAAAGATCCTCTTTCTGTTGCATGGAGTTAGTGCCTTTTTGTAGGGTCACTGAACAGTGAGGATAATACAGATTCCCTTTTTTTCCCATGAAATATATCTAATTCGCCAGTTGTGTCTTTTCGATCTTCGTCGTCAAGTAGTTAGCACTCCTGCCTCGTATTTGGGAGGTCCTGGGTTCAAATCTCGGCCCAGGGACCGGCTATCCTGACTGAGGTTTTTCGTGGTTTTTCTCATCCACTCGAGGAAAATGCCGGAACAGTGCCATACGTTTGTGCACATACGTTTTTATCGCCCGATATGCAAATTGTTTGAGTTTAATAGCGGTTACGTTGGTCTACTTTAGTAACTACACACACATTCTTGTCTCTGGATCAGTTATATCTCAGTTGTAAGCAGTGTGTATGCAATGCGTCTCAGACAATTTTTCTTTCGCCCTACACTTCCACATACGTTACATATGCTTTGTGTTGGAGAACATTTTCATCCAAATCATGTAGGCTATGAGAATAATTATGGCTCAGAGTTCTGTGATACGTCGAGAGGCAGCTTTGTGTGCTGTCTGTATGGGTGAAAAGATGATGCCATCATGCATAGTATTTCTAAATATTACGTTGGATTCATTTATCAGTAATAAGAAAGTGATTATTTTTCGTTTAGGGAAATGTATTCTGTCTGCATTTGTGCGCATATGCTTTGCCATAGTTTTCTAACTTTTGAACCGGTATGGTTTTTATCATTGAAAGTCATTTGGCAGTATTACGGAATATTATTCTAGTATGTCAAAACAAGATATATTTCCTGCAGGTATGTAAACTGTTCTTTAAGTGAAGTTACTGTAAAATAAATTACCATTCTCTCGGATTTCGTCTACCTAATTTCATGGCGATGAGTACCTGCCGAAGCTGATAGCCCGAGTCAACACAGTCCAGTTTAGTTAGTGAGCTCTAAAGCGAATCTTGTAATTGAGCTTGGCTCCATGTTTACATTTCGCTGGTCTTTATTGCCTTCGGGCCCAGAGACGTGATTACAAGGCAGACAAGAGTGAGAGTTGTAAGTTAGTTACTGTGATCCGGCCGACTGTTAAAATCTGATAGTTGCTTTTGTGGCAGTAACATTTTGACGTATAGCGGTATATTATCATAGGATCATTATGATTTTATCCAGCTTTTAGGCGCGTTTGCTAATAAAAACTGTAAAAAATATGCCTATTAGCTGAGAAATGCTTACATGTCTGTATTCTTGTCCGCTTAACATCCCGAAAATTTCTGAAATACGTTTCTTGAAATTTGATTTTGGGTAGTTTTATTCTACACATTCCAGTTTTGTTTCAGATTGGACAAAAATGACGGGCATTTTACATGAAGACTCACATACGATTGCACTTTGCACACGTTTCCACACTTACAAGGTTTTAAGACAATGTCTGTGTAGCTTAGAATGAGATTCGATCGTTAGTTTTCAGTAGGTAACGATTTGATGGAGGCTGTCGTATGTTTCAGAGTTCTAGCTCCGTCTGAAAAGACTGGGAAAAACTACGGAAAAATTTCAACAAGGTTAGTGGGTTACCTTGCCTGAGATTCAAACTTGGTGATTCTCTAAAGGTTTCTTAAAATTTGCTAGCTGAAATGTCAGGGGACAGCATTTCCCACCTAGATGCCAACCACCAACTCATCTTGGAGCACCATATTTTCATTGATTAGGCCCTAGATACCTAGTAATTGCAATGTAATTATTTGGTTATACATATAGTGTTGGAAAAATGCCACTTTTAAAATTTAGCCTTATGTTTAGTTAATTTAAAATTAGTTTTGATTTGTTAACCATGTCTACAGTCGCTACTAACGGGTGCAGCTGAGTGGACGTTAAAACCATTAAGTAATTAAAGTATTAAGTATTTGTTTTGGAGATATTTTTTACATGTATCGTAACTAGACGCAAACAGTGCCGAACACTGCTTTAAAAACCGACAAACTTTCCCTCTTTCTGACGTCACCATCTGTCATAAATGAGTTAATGGAAACTCCAGGCCAGTACTGACGATAACTGACGAGAAGAAGTGTTTCCTGCAATTTTCATTGCGCGACAGACACGTCGAATATATTGTGGTACTGTGACCAGCAGACGCTGTGGACGCAATCAATAGTGCCCTGAACTTTCTACTAGTCAAAGCGCACATTCCTTTTCTGTATATGGATAAGTTCAGTGCTGATTGTTTGTTGAAACTTCTGCCAGACTACATGGCGCTACAACCCAGAAGACAGCCATCTTAGAATCCACCGCCGTGAAAACCCCAAGTCTTACACGTATTATTGTAATCTTGGCTCCCCAAAATTCGGACTTTTGTTTCGAAAATTCTTATGTTGGGGTCCCTGATACATGTCTTTATTATCTTAATTTAGTGTGCCTGCAGCTGGCTATGCGAAATTTGGTAAGAGATCTCTCAAGATTCAGTTTAAAATATGTTTTTTTTCCGATTTAAAGGATAATATGGTATTATATATAGGAGTTATCTATAACGTGAGTTTGTTCAGCGCGAATAATTGATGTTTGACAATTAATTCTGTGCATAATAATTCTTGTGACACTGAGACCAGCTATCATTTCGAAGTGCTCGCATCTGGTCCGTGGGTAAAATTAATTACCGACCCTGTCCTACAGAGAACTTTACCTTGAATCACATCTATCTTTGACTTGCAGAAACTTGCATACTTTACTGATGAATGTACAAATTTGGCTGTCTGGGTTGAACTACAAGTATTAAGAATTATCCAATGTTTCGGTGAACATTGCAGTTACCGTCTTCAGAGTGAATATGCAGTGGTTTGGCATTTTGGCTGTCTGATGTATTGAGCAGGCAGTAGGTGGTGAATTTAATTTCGTGATGTTGAATGGCGAGGAAGAAGATAACATCCCGCACTTTCGCTGAAAAAAGCCCAGCCATAAAATATTCGTCCTGAAGATGGAAACGGAAATTATTGCCGAAACGCTGGTTGAGTTTTGACATTCGAAGTTGTTCAGTTGTCTCGTCTGTACAGTGAGTGTTCCATTTTTCCAATCCAGAGATGTATTATGAAGTCTGTGGCGTGGGTGCAACACAACTGCAGACAAAGTGTTCGTAGTTTTAGGATTATCTGTGTAAAAAGGACTTGGCGCATGCGTCAGTATATTCTGCCTCGGAGAGTCCTCGGCGATAGTGAAAGCCGTCCTCCCACTTAGTTTCCGTTTGTCTCTTGTTTATCTTGGTGGTAGTGAAAGCCGTGTGTGGTTGCTTAGTGCGCCTTGCCAAGATCCTATGCCTACATTTGTTCTCGGAGGGAAATTATTTCATTAGGTTGAACATCTGTTTTTTTTAATCGCAAGTAGTTTGACGTAAAGAGCGCGTCCTGATACAGTGAGAATAATTTTTTTTTTTGATTCTAAGCAAATATCAATGATACTTGTAATGGTTATATTGTTGTTTGACCAAAGGATGAATTTTTCCATTGTTATAAATTCCTACAGCGAAAACTTATGACCTGTTAATTTTAAATGTAGTTCATTGTGTATTCGTTTCGTGAAAGGCGATACTTTTTTGTTGAAACATATTTAAATAACGCGTTTAATATCTCAGGTGTGTATTATAGGCTCATTTAAATGCGTATCACGGAGTGAAGTGTCATTAGTATCCAGTACAACTGTCTCATTCCCTTTAAAAGGAGTTTGCAAATAGACATTGACAAAGAGGAATGAGTTATGTAAATAATTCGAAAATAACAACGATTTACATTTGAGACGGAAAAATATTTATCAAGCACAATTTGGGGTTTTCCCGGCGGCGTGTATGAAGATTATTGGTTTTTGGGTCACTGCGCGTACAGCCTCGTGGAAGTTGAATGACGTTTCGGAGATGCTTACTACCTCTTATCGTCCTGATTGTGGAGACAGTAAACACCTCTGAAACGTCATTCATTTTATACCAGAGTACGCCCCAGAAGACCGTAAACTACCAAATTTTAGCTGTGAATCCTGAAGAGGCCAAAGTTTCGATGAAAGGATAATATTAAAACAGATTTCAAAGAAATGGAGTGTAATTGTTACCACTCAAATGATAAGCTCCAACTGAGGACCGAGGTTATGATAATGAGGATATTTGTAATTTGTTCTTTTTACCATATATTGCTAGGATGATCAGTGATGATCAAGGATGATGATATGGGCGGATCATGTAGCACTCATAGGGAGATTAGAAATGAATACACAATTCAATTGGAAAGCCTGATTGGAAGAAACTCGTAGATGACGGGCAGGATTAAAATATATGTCACGAAAATAAAAATTGAGGTCGGTGACGAGCTTTTACGAACACGGTGATGAACTTTAGGGTTCCATAAACGCGGAGAATTGTTTTTGCTATCTGAGCTTTTCAAGACGTAGCTAATCTGGTTCATTGAGTAAGTTAGTTATTCAAAAAATAGCTGTATGACATCTTGGGGCTCCCTTTCTTGTATGAGCATCGATTGCGTTTACGAAATCATCTGCTTTGTTCACTGTTTGTATTTGCTGCAAGGAGTATTGCTAGTTAAAGTAACAGGTCGAATTATTCTGTTATTCAGGATTTTATCCTCTGAAACTTCATAATACTTCAGCATATGTCACAGTAGCTGTCTGGGTTTGGTTATTTTTCACGGATAGGAATTTATGCCCCCGAAAAACATTTTTTAGACCCCATACTGAATATTGGTGCTGGAAAAGTTTCTCAGAATGCAAGAAGAAACTTTTTCGTCTCTTTGCAATGGCAGTAATTTTTTATAGCGTCGTAACTCTTATGTTTGCCAGGCTGACTTTTATGACTACCTTTTTGGTATGTCTTTTATTGCAATAAACACTGCTGTCAGTTGTTAGATGGTCTCATTACATGTGGTCAGAGAAAGCAGTATCTGGCTTTAGGGCACAGTCCGCAACATAATGATATTAGAAAGGACACTGATAGATAAGTGCCCTCAATGTTGTCTTTATTCCTGGGGGCGAAGTTAACCCTATTACAAATTAAATTACGTTATTATACTCAGCAGAATGTTTGGTATATGGTAATCTCTGTCTTGATATGAGATGGATTCTCCAGATTACCAAACAGACTCTTTGTATTACTCCAATATAATCAGCTAACTGAAAATGTCCGACGTTTATCCTTCGATTTTATGTCTCACTGTGATCAGTGTACTGATATATCGTATCATTTAAAGACGTACTGAGGTCTTTATTGAGGCATCTGTTATAAAGGCAGGGACGTTGGGGATTCCTAGGGATGACATGTGGTATGTGGTGTGCAGCCAGGAATTGCTCGCGAGACTTAAGCGCTACTTCAAACGTGTTTTGAGACGATGCGTTGTGGTGGCTTTTAAAGTGAAAGCGAGTGCTAGAAGTCCTAAAGGGAACGGTGTTTATGTCACAGCAGTGACAATGAATCTTCCTCGTCGCAGGTATGTGATTATGTTGTTCATTGATGTTGGTATTCTGGGTTTTAACGCCGTGAAGACGTGAAATGAACTGCCTCTACGTCACCTTTGAAAACGGGGGCATTATATTCCTCCGAAACGTCGGAATCTGGAGTTAAAACCTGGAATACCAATATCAATTCCTTCACCACTGTTAGAACCTCAGATTTGGTTTCTTTGTTGTATTTAGATTATTGCAGACCAGATTGCACAATGCAAGTTTTTGTTAAGGGCTACCATTTTGAACCCGGAATATTTAATATGCAATGAATGTACAAGCCAGTGTCGTGTTATTGGTAATGTGATATAACCGTAGTTTGTCATGATTTAACGTCGTCATATGGTAATGACAGTATTCAGAGTAATTAATCATTGATATTTTGTAGTTATTAACACGCATCACATGCCAGTTGTCAGTATGCTCCAATTATTGTAATGATCAAATCCCACTTTCCATTATTGTTCTTATCTGTTGTATTCCTAATGGTATACGATTACATAATTATGTTTTCTTTCACAACGCATCAAAGGGAGAATTGAAAAATGATGATGGGACATTTCGTAATAGACTCGTATATCCCATGTTCTCGACGTTATGATTCAAATCCCGATACCTAGTGTTCTGACCGAGGGTGTATGTAAATTCATTAGTTACTCGCTGTTAAAATGTCGGCGTTGCAGATTAGTTAACGATAACTCAGCTGATTTGTATTCTCGGGGTAGTCGGTTCGAATTTCATAACATAACTGGGGCTGCTAGACGCTAAGATTCGAGTTAAATCCTGGTAAGATTTGTGACTGACGAACGTCCACTGATGCAAGTTTTACTATTAGTTCGTTCATTCGTTACGTGTTAATCGTTAAGTTGACAGTCCGTCTACAAAGCAAATTTTATGATTATAGTCTCATTGTTTTTCTACGAGTTATTTGATTTCCCCCTGATAATTATCATTACGTCATTGTTCCATGCAGGACATTGTCTTACCCTCGGTTATAAGTTATTTTATTATCCTGGAACACACTACCATCACCTTATACCAGTTTAGATAAAACTGCGTAAAATCCCAGAATTATAGACGTGGTAACATCGAGAACCGAACCCAGCTAGAGTAAGATGCAGTGTACAGTAACCTAAGATGGCTCAAAACTTTACATTGCTTGATAGGATGAACTGTTGTCAGCTTCTGAAGATGCTGGAATTATTTACTTTATTTTAAGAAAATCTGTCTAATAGTGCTTGTGATAGTGATTAAATTGAGCTATGGCAGATGTGCCTTTGGGCTAGTCTGCTAGGACCTCGGAGTCCGCACACCGACACACCAACGAAAACTTTGGTCTTAACAAAGAGCCTCGGACAGAGAAAGCCCTGGATTATGTATAATCCTTCGTTAGAAATGTGTATTCTACCTCGATAATGCTCTCAAACGATAATTCCTTGAAAGCATGTCGCGTGTTGTTATTGATAATCCAGTTCTCATTGTCATCGTAGTTAAACTGAAAGACTCGAAGTTGCAAAGTATGTGTCTGACGCTAAGCTCATACACAGAGCACTGGCAGGCAGGCTACTTGACAGAAATTTTACATTCCACGCCTAATTAAATTTAAACCTTCTGGTGTGGATGTCAGGAAAAAAAACATGAAGATAAGGGTTTTAAGAAATGCGCTATTCCTCTCTCACTAACTGTTGTGCGCACGTGTTTGCTTATTGCAGTAAGCCTGTATGTTGGGAACCCATGCGTCTACATTTGTGGAATTCGGTTCTCTGAAATTGAAAGAATAATAGTGTAAAACCGCCCTAGAACCGTTGTATTTTATTGTAGATGGCCGTCTTCTGGGTTGTTGCGCCGTGTAATCTGGTTGGAGTTAACTGACGTTTCAGAGGTCCTTGCTGCCTCCATCATCAGGGCGATGAGACTTCGGAGAGTCTTCTAGGTTGTAACGCCGTGTTAATTGATTCGTGGATACCAGCGTTTCTATAGAACATACTACCTCCATCTTTAGGGCTTGTATCATATCGTCATTCATATGTATTCAGCTCTGAAGATGGATGCAGAATGTTCCCCCGAAACGTTACTTCCCACATACAAGTCCACACGACATGACTACACTAAATACCACCATGAACATCTTCACCGCTGTTGGAACCTCAAATCTCACTTAATAATATTTAAGAAATTTTAATTTTGTTTCTTTGAGGCAGGGAACGAATATCTTTAATGAATCTTACTGTGTAGGAAGGAATGTAGATTAATGTAACAGGCCCCACCCCAATGCGCTGAACAAGTTTCCCAGGAAATGTCAGCTTTACTCCAGCAAAATTAATTGGACTTATGGAATCCGAGCAGTGAAAGTTAATCGTAGGTTATAACTGCAGTCACTGCTTGAGGCTGTCTTGTGCTTCCTTCGCCGTCTCTTTGAAGTAGAGATGTTACTCTTTCAGGACTTACGAGTGAACTCTTCATCCCGAGATTAAATCTGTATATTATAAGGTTCCATTTATATTTTGATGACGAAAGCAGTTTCGCTGTTTGAAGATAGCTGTCTTCTGGGTTGTTGCGCCTTGTATTCTGGTAGAAGTTTACCGACGTTTTAGATGTCTTTGCTGGTTCCACTATTAGTGAAGTAAGCACCTCTGAAACGTCTATCAGTATCTATCAAACATGGGGACAGTGATAGATAGATATGAAGCAATGGTAGACTGGTGATTATCGGGGGGGGGGGGGGGGGGGGGGGCAAGGAATTTTAGGAAAACCCTGTTTTCACAGCCACAGAATTCTACGGGTCTCACCTGTTTTACCGAATGAAGTTTTAAGGTATCTTTCATGAAGTTGAAATCTTGAAAGGACCTGGTTCTTGCTGGTAGACGGAACTTCTGTATTGTAGGCTATCGGGACCCGGGGTAGCTCCGTCAGCGTAGTGACAGACTACGGGCTGGGCGATCAGGATTTGATCCTCGACAGGGGCAGAGGATTTTTCTTCCAGCCTCCGGGTCCAGACCGGCTCTGGGATCCACCCAGCCTCCTGGGTACCGGGGGGGCTGACCACTCACCCCTATCTAGTGCCAAGTTAAGAAGAGCAGTAACTGTACCTCTTCTCCCCCTGAGCGCCTACATGCCGTGTAGCGGGACAGCTTCTCTCTCTCTCTCTCTCTCTCTCTCTCTCTCTCTCTGTAGATTACACAACAGTTGTCAGTTTCTTGTTCTTTAGAAATGTCTCAATCGACATTTCGTGTGTGGAGTGGTATATTGCTCTGTTACAACAATTTATCCTCTCCCACGTTGACGTGTTACTGCCTCTCTGCACGTACGTGGTGCATGTGGACGATCTTCGACATGTTTGTTCTCATCTTACTGATGCACGCAGAACGATAGTCTTACAGCACGCTACTGGAACCCAGGAGTATTCCCAAGTGGCAGGGAGGCCCGTAAATCTTCGAATTTATCTCCCGTGTCGATTCACAGAGTTCACCAACAAGAAACACGCGCACCAACATTAAAAAGACGAAATATGTACTTCACCCTTCTTTTTTTATCGTTCCATTCATGGATAACTGCGTCGAAGAAGTAGATGGCTGTCTTCTGGGTTGTTGATCCGTGTGGTCTAGTAGACGTTTTCAGAGGTACATGCTGTTTCCATCATCAGAGATGAGACGACACTACGACCAAGCAGACAGTCATCTGCATACTCGCTGCCTTGAGAACTTTAAGAGACACGACGTTGAAGAAATGAATGCAAATTCTTTTAAATTTTCCATCATGTTAAGTGCTTCGGTGTCATTTGTTGCGGTCCGCGACCCTAGAGTAAGTCTTGTATTCAAAATGTTTCTTATTGAATATATAACAATATAACAGTGAAGGCGTTCAAGAATCATAAATGAATCTGATAGGTGTATAAAGTGCATTGCGCAATCGTATTTTCTTATAGGCTGACACTTTTTTATTTATATCTGATTACTGAAAAAAATGTTAGAAAATTGCCCTGGGGAATCGTAGTTTACCACTTTCTAATATGAAAGCAACGTAAATTTGCATATTTGGTGCATACACTTAAAAAAATAATTGTCGGCAGTCCCGCCTTCAAGCACCCGTAATCTAGAAGGCGGTAGATTTGGACCCCCTCACCCCATGCAACTGCTTCCCAACTTCTAGTACATTGAGGCTCCATTGTCGCATTCCTGATAGTGTGCGTTGTCTCTGTAATCTGTTGCAATTTTTTGTGTGTGTGTTGCAGGCCGACTGTCATGATGATGGAGTTGAGTCACAGCCTCACACTGAACGAGGAGGCTTTGAAGCAGATCCCAGAAGCAAAGCGCCCGGTTTTCGTCTTCGAATGGCTCCGTTTCCTCGATAAGGTGCTTGTTGCAGCGCAGAAGGTACGTTGCTGCTTCAGCCAAATTTTTCCACATTTATAAATAATTATATACAGCGAAGTTGTGATTCGGAGTCCTTTAAAGGTAAATAGTTCCTCATGTAGTCAATAAATTCTTCGCCTTTTAAGAAACCTGAAGGTTAATTCTAGGAAGAAAATAACCGCTGGGCTATTTCTCACATTTAGTTATTCTGTAAATCTACACAATTACAATTCAGAACCCCTCCCATCCATCAAGCTGTTTGAATTTCCGATACGAATAAGGAGAAGGACTCTTTCTTACGACAAACTTTATCTCTGTACAAAAGGATAATGTAAGGGAGAAGTTACCCCTCTCGCTACCTTCCGTGTTGCCATGACAACACCGATGAGTCGACATACAGGTTCTTCCTCGCTTTTTCAGATAATAAATTTCGAGCTTTAACGTCACTTGGTACATTAAATATTGTTGGGCGAGTGGAAGGTGAGGAACAGCAATATTTTTCATGTAAAGGGCAGTGAAACGTATGTTTCAGTTCAAAAATGATTTAGGAACTTTGACGAAACCTGAATTAAGTCTCTGGTAACGTATCGTGTGCTTAATTAATTTCCTCTCATACAGTGTTCACCTAGCAAAACGAATCTACTGTACAGAGTTTTTAGACGAAAAGGGAAATAAATGTATTACCGAAACGTCTGGCATAAAGGCTCATACAGAATGTAGTTCTAAGCTTGTTGAGGAATTCACCGTGTTTTAGAGACCCCGAAGGCTCACATATTTCCGTAGGAATAATAAATTAAGTAGGTAAGTAGGATTTCAAGTTCTCACGGTGGTGAGTACGAAGATGGCTGTCTTCTGGGTTGTAACTGGGTTATACCGGACAACAAGCAATCTTAAAAATAGCAATTATTTGGGGGTTATCAGTATTACATTAAAACACTCAATTCGTATTGTTTATTTTTGCCATTACAGTGGCCTACTTTCTATGAATTATGAATAAAGTTTCAGGAAGAAAATGTAAAAGCTGTATTAATAATGGGATGTATCTGAACATCGACCTACCCTACGACTTTAGAGTGTGCTTGGGTTGACCCTAGGGCCGCATCCTTAAGTTGCCGTAGCTAAAACTAAGCAGAAAGTTACGTACCGATATCTCAAGTAGATCGATTATTCAGTAGCTAGGACGGTTGGCAGTTTTTTAGAGGATTAACACAGTGATGACTTTTTAATACTGATTGATGAGTGAACAGCGGTTCGTTTAACTTTGAAAGACCTAAATATATGACTATAATCACGCAGTTTGTTATGAATCGGTTTAAATATTTAGAAAATACATTTGAATATTGAGATTGTTTGTAATTTATTATTAAAATGTCGTTAAATTAATCAGTTAAGAAATAACCGACCTTTTATTAAATCTGAATGATCATTGTCGGGTTTACATCTTCTTTCCACTGGATTATATCCCCAGTCAGTTTAATCCAATTCTGACAGCCATTTCGCTCGAGGTCCATCTTAATACTGTCCACCCATCTACGCTTAGTTTAAATAGTGTAATGGAGAGAAAGAGATTAATATTATGTGCACAGATAATTATTTTTACAATCCTGTCTGTTTAAAAAGAAGAACGGGACAAAGTTGCACTATAAAGTGTAGCTAATTAATTAATTCTGTTCAGTAGACGAGATTCTAAATGTTATCACTTGTGTGCAGGTGCTTTAAGGATTCTTTTCAAAAGACACTCCATATCGGAATCCTTGCCATATAATAGGATATTGGCAACCATTGGATGGTTCTCGCCATGTAAAACCTAATTTGCTGAAGAGAGACAACTTTGTTCATTAACTGTAACGTGACAGGACCACTAATCCATCCAGACTTGTGTGAACAATTCGTCTGGCGTCGTAATCCTTGCTCGCTTTACGAGGTGTCAACACAGTGTCGGTCTGTTGATTCGGTGATGCATCTTATTCCTTTGAGCGCTCGAATTTTAATTTAGTGTGGTTTTTTTTTTTTGGGGGGGGGCTTAAGGCATATGATTCACAAGTGTTTTTACATCTGTAAAATTTACCTGATGCATTGTCTCGTACTTTAGACCAGTGGTATTCAACCCCGGGGGTACGCGAAGACATCTTAGGGGGAACGTGAAATTTAAAAAAAATATATTATTTTATGATAAACACTGAATAATCAGGGCCAGATTTAGGGTTAGCCACAGGAGAATTGGACGTAAGGACATTCGATTTGGGAGGGCCATTTTTTCTCTTTCTCCTTAATGTAATTCTTATCTGGGCGGCCGAAACAAGCTCAATCATCTCATTAACAGGTCTGAACCACATTAATTAATAATTGATAAAATGTTTAAACATATTATTTTGCTTTGCTAAAATACCTTTGTTCCTTTATTAATTTTTATATGATAGACAATAATGTATTTGTTGTTTAATAGCTTAGTTTTCCTTTTTCTCATTTAAAACTTATTATTTAATACATTATTTTGGATGTAGTTTATTTAATTTATTTTAGATGTAGACTATATACTATGTATAACTTGAGTTATACAACAACAACAACTTTGGGGGTACAAAGTTGAAGAGAAATTATATCTGGGGGTACGCGAACAAAAAAGGTTGAATATCACTGCTTTAGACAGTATCCGAAACTATAGACAAGAACGCCATTTTCACGCGGCTATAGACTGAGAAAATTTCATTGCGGTACTTGGTAGCAGTTTTAATAACTGCCACGAATTTCCAGTAAAATGGCTTAATTTATAACCCGGCTACTCGCGAGTCGATAGCGAAAGGCGGACCAAGGTCTTAAAATATTAAAAACCTTTGGTCTTCCCAGAGGTTAAGCTGCAACTGTGAAACGAAGTTATATTAACGCGCTGGCTGGTTGGCCCTGTCACTTCAGTGCCTATTAAATTTGTGAAACCGGTGTCCGCGGTGGTAACCTTCTGGCTGGTTGATGTTGGAAGGATTCAGGACTTGCGATGGTGTATATAATTATTATTGGACCTCAAACATTGTCTAAATTTATTTTATTAAAAATTGTTACGTTTCGGAAATTGAATTGACTCCCCCGAAAAGTCGTAATGTTAAATAAAATTGACTCTTTCCATCGTATAAGTGGTTTATATAGCCACGTACTTTCGGGATTATAATTAACTTCCGAAACGTCGTAAATTTTAATTAAGAGCACATAATTATGGACAAAAAGTCCGGCGGACTTTTCACACTGCGTCTGATCGCCTGAACACTTGGCTATGCCTGTTCTGTAATGCTATGTATAGACCAATTGCCTACTGACTGCGCGTAGTCGCTCCAGGGGTTTAATTTAAATATCTTTATTCTGTCACGTCCTGCGGTGTACTGCTAAATGAAGCAGCATTATCGGCGCGGGTAGTGACTTGCAATTCTAATTAATTTTCTCGGAAATTGTAGCGGTTGCGAACTGACCCCATATATCTGGTCATTTGACTTTAATTCACGTGCTGGCATGGCTTCTGAGTGAGAGTTGCGCGCATTTCCATTAGAATTAATTATCGGGTCCACAGCACGTTTCCAAGAGTCTCAACATATATTCAGAGCCGTTAACCCTTTAAAGCTGCAGTTTCTGGAAATTAACTTTTGAGACTAATGCTTTACAGTACATTTGTATTGACACAAATGTTGTCGGATGGCAACTAACTGGGATTACCGGGGGATTCCTTTTAAAATTACGCATGGAATTTCTTTTCCGAGGCTTTCTTAGCTTTCGTAGGCTGGCCGAATATAGGCGGGCGCTGTATCGGGGATTGATTATAGTTCTGAAATGTGCTAATTTTCCCAAAGAAAACCATTATTATTGAATGTATTTTTCATGTAGGCCTGCGAACAGTGTATTTTGTAGTTAATGGTCGTGTATAATAGAGACTGAGACACAGTTATATTGTAAAACTTTGTTTAGCAGGGAAAAAGAAAAGATACCGGTTTTTCGTCTTGTATTGTTTTCTTCTCAAATGGTTTACATAACTTTTTTATTCTCGAGAGATCAGATCCTAGTCTTTGGAGGGGGTTTTTTCGTTCACGAACTTCTACAGTACTTCTGTAATTCGTTTGTTCGATAGCATTCGATAAGAACGATATCAGGAAACGATGTTCTGGTGCAAAGTTGTATTAATTTAGGATAAGTAATAAAATTATCATCTCTATTCCGTGAATAAACTAACCCTACGGAACAAAGTTCGTTGGAAGCTTATACTCGCCCACCGACTCAAGAAATTTCCTATATTTGACAGAATATGAAAGTTCCTCACGGTTTTCAAAGTCTGGATTGTGTGGGTGCTCGTCTGTTCTCTCCACAATTTCACTTATCTTAGGCGACTGATAATAATTGACTTTTCGAAATAGCGACGTCAGTAACAACGCCTCTACAGTGAACACGATCTTATTCCTATCATTAATGGGAAAAGAAAGTCTTTGACAAAATACGCGATTCCCTTAATCCGGAAAACGTGTCTTTCTGTCCCTTGAAAGGATGTTTGCTTACATTTCTCTTGTGTCATAGGTGTTAGATGGGATTTTTATTTTCGTGTAATTTGCCTTTAATATCACTAGAAACTCTTTCGCGCGTCATTACGTTCCTCGTGGCTTGTTACAATTTTATGAAAATGTCAGCCAGTGAAACGGACTCTGTGGTCCTGTTGAGTTCATGGATTCATGGAGGAATGAATAGTGGGGCAGCAAATGTCATGGGTTGGAGGGTGAGAGTACGCCTGACATTTACCTTGTGAATCCGCCCCCTGCAGACAACAGTCCCTAGGCTCTCTCATTAAAACCGTCATCCAGCGCGTCAGAGTCCTGTAATTAACCTGAACTATACAGAGACGTGTTCCTAAAGCCTGGCTCTGATTACAGTTATTTATTTGCCCATTTCATGGCACTGGCTTCTCATCGCAGAGACCCGGGCATAATCCCCAGTGTCTTGAAGCGAGGTGACTTGGTACTGGATCAGGGTTTCTTTTCCTAGTTCTTCGGTTTCCCCTACCATCAACATTCAACCATTGCTCCATGCTCATTAATCACTGCCCCACGAGGTTTGCGATAGCCCTGACCAAGCATCGCACCCTCAGTTTAAAGTTGGGAGCGTCATCTCTGGCTTAACATTTCGCTGTACTCGAAGTAAAGGTAGTTCAGTACATGATGATAGTCGCCCTGATGATGGAGGTAGTAAGCACATCTAAAACGTCTTTAAACCAGGGCTGTGGAGTTGGTACTAAAAATCTCCGACTCCTTCATAAAACCTTAATATGTATTAATGGCAGCATAAGATATTTCATTACCACCACGTAAATCATCAGCCTACTTTTTAGAATTATAACCTTTATTTAAATATACGTCTAATGGTTATTGCAGAAATCGGTTGATTTGTAAACAGTTTGTATTCTTAAGGTACCACAGCCAAAGTTGCAAAGCATTATTCCCACACCACGTGGCTCAACGCGTCGTGGAATCTCCCTAAGCGTGAGGCCGCCGGCGGCTGGCTCTCACGGTATAGAAATTGTTCTTAAGATTTTATATCGAGGTCGGAGTCGGTACATTTTTACCGACTCCGACTCCACAGTCCTGCTCTAAACCTCTGCTAGAGTACAGAGCGTAACAACCCAGAAGACATTCTTTTTACTCGCCTCCGTGAGAACCTCGAATCTCACTAAGAAGTAAAGTGATAAGCTATCTTGGCCCTTTGTATTGGAATTTTTAAATCACTTAATATAGTGTACATATAATGTAATTTGCATTGCATTTATCGGTCTGATCCGCATCTCGAGTTTTCCTTAGCCCTCGAAGAGAATGCTGGGATAGTGATACAGGTAGACTACTGCCGTTTCCTTCCAAATTTCTGAGTCACAGTTGTCGACCTGCATTTAAATTAACTAAGAAACGGACAATATGTTTTGTGGTGCGTTTCTTGAAGTCACTTAAATCCCCACACCTCTGCTTTGAGCGTTCTGTGTTTCATTGTTCATGATACATTAAGGATTGATGCCGATCAGAAACTGTTATATCATTAGGAAGGAAATAGTATTTGCTTGTTGTAAGATAGTCTTTTAATCTCCTACAAGGCTGAATGTGCCCTTTTTTTAGTATGGTAGCAGAACAATATCCAATTTCTTTTCCATCTTTGTACCAGATATTCAATTATGCAAAAGGTTCCTTGCAGTCAGAACGTGCTCTGTCTCTTGGACTCCATTTAGTGTAACACAACGCTGTCAATTTGTTCCTCTCTTTGGAATTTTATTTATTTATAAGATGGGCATACACCCTTCCCCTCTTATGCCCAGAACAAATGGTTAACCCAAAAACGTACTGTAGGATACCTTCCCTGTACCTAGGCACCAATTCCCAGGTGGGAACAGTAACTTTCTTCCCCTCCCTTTCCCCAGATCCATCTCTTTTCTGCAGGTGGGAGTGAAACACGTGCAAGTTGCATGCATCTAATTTGAAACGCCCTGGCAGGATTGACCCCAAAAGGTCAGGTATATATTTTTACACACCTGTATGCTTATAATTAACATTGTGTTATGTAAAACGTAATAGTCTAATTGAAGCTGAATCTTTATTCTCGTTTGAGAGTTTTGACAATACAAAATGTCCTGTGAATTGGACAGGAATAATGTGTTTGTGTGCCTATTGTGAACTCAAAAAAATTTCAGCTCGTAGGATTTTTTGTGCGCCGTAGAGCGAGTGAGCGAGGATTTTACAGACATCTGGAAAGGAAGCGTGTGATTGCAGACTTATTGGTGTCATAATGTCTGTGATCGTACGTTTTAACAGACTAAATAATAGGAACATAAATATGAAGTGAAAGCAACTTCAATGCGAAATAGGATTTGGGATTCTCACGGCAAAACTTATCACCCTGTTGATGGAAGCAACTATTACCTCTGAAACGTTGGTAAACTTCTACCAGAATACATGATGCTACAACCCAGAAGACAGCTATTTTCGGACTCACTGCCCTGAAAACCCGAAATCATACAGAAAATTGGCTCATAGTATAGAAGGAATTCATTGCACTGCTAGCTAATAGGCTAGTGTTTGTGAGCATTGTGTTTAATTTGTATTATTCATATATTTGGATACTGGGAACGACCCGTTCTTCAAGTGCCTGAGCACTGCAGTCCAAACTTTTCGTTGGCTCGATCTGTAGACATTCGGTAGGACTCCTTGGACGAGGGATCGGCCCGTTGCATGGCCTCTACCTGTACACAGGACAGCACAACTCAGAAAAACGCGGACAGACATCCATGGCTTGAGTGGGATTCGAACCCACGGTCCCAGCGACCAAGCGGCACAAGGCCCACGCCTCAGACTGCGCGGCCACTGCAGACCCCTATTATTCATATGGGTGTGATATTTATGATCATTCAGTAGACATACATATTTGTAAAACTTTACACATGTTTCAAATTTCCTAATATGACCCCAGGAAAAGAATCCTAGCAGTGGTCTGAACACACAGGTCACAACACTTCAGAAGACTGATAGTGTACTTACAATGTATGCAGCCTGTTCATGATATGTAAGCAGTAAATTATATATGAGCTTTTGTGCACTCTCTATGGTGGTAACAGAATCCCCATGGTCCTACTATTCATAATGACAGGACGCAGATTTAAGCTCTCCATTATCTGGATTGCTCCAAGGAGCGTGCAGAAGCATCCTCCTGTCTCAGTCAGCCCCCTGGGGGTTTTGCTGAAACTTCCCCCTTCTTTCTTTTTTTCCTGTACATATCATCTCTTTTCTTGTCATGCTGATACATGATTTTTCATTTTCACCTTTTACTTAAGTAAATCTTATGGAGACCACACTGAGTAAAGCTTCTGTAGTAAAAAGGACTTGTATTTTTAAGAAGTGGATAATTTATCACCGTATGAGATTATAGGGTGCACGTTAGTCCCCAGTGGTGGGCTCTTGCGAACATGATTCCATAAAAGCCAGTGAATTTCTTAAACAGCTGAGCATAACCAGCTTCTTTAAGAGGGCGCAGTTGCATGGAATTAGTGTGGGATTATATAATTCATTGGTTCTTTGTTTATTTAATGATGATGGAGGCAGGAAGTGCCTCTCAAATGTCGGTAAACTTCTACCAGACTGCATGGCACAGGGACATCTTCATAGTGTATCATTTAATTGTTTTGTAAGCATGATGTTTTCTTACAGTCTGACATCAAGGGCTGTCAGAAGAAGCTTGTGGAACAGCTAACACAGCACATTCAAGAGTCTCCAGGTCCCCCTACACGCAAACTTATAGCCCGTTGCCTTGCCACGCTGTTTAGTGTGGGTGATACCTTTCTTCTTTTTGACACAGTCAATAAGTGTAATGATATCTTGAAGAACAAGGATGACTCGCCCAGCTTTCTTCCTACTCGGCTGTGAGTAACTGAGTAATGGTTACTAAGAGCAATTAATTTTATGTCTGGAAACACAACTTCACTTATCAGTAAAATTTTAACAACACTGCATCAATGGCAAATCTTACTAATCTTCAAGTAATGTGTGGAGATGAATATAATTAGGTATATCTGAGAAAACGTATCAGTTCTGAGTTTGATTATATTGATTCAGCTGTGTAGAAAGAGGTGAAGAGATCGTTGTGTATGGTAAGTATGCAATAATTTTAAGTGGGGAGATCATATATTATTTTAAAATACTGTTGTGGTATTTGGTGTGAGACTGAGGAAAATGACAAAAAATGAAATTCATAATAGTTGGTAGCTTACCACCCATGTACTTTGCACATAGAAGTACTGGATATTAGTTCTAAACCAACTTCTAATATTTAAAATGTAAATATATGTTGGTTGAATTGCCCATAAATTTTGTGCAGGGCAGCTATTTGTTGTGTGGGTTGCATGTACGAGAAATTGGGCCGGATGATGGGGCGATCCTATGAAGAAACTGTTCAGATCCTCATCAAATCCCTGAGGAGTGCAGAATCACAAACACGCATTGAGATAATGCTTACCTTGGAAAAGGTAATGTTTCAATTGTCATGTATCCAATATTCATCAAATATTATATTTGGTATTATTGGCCTAGTGTTTTTCTCTCGTTTAATGTCTTTAATGGTTATGATGCTTCTGTCAATCATAGCCTAATGCATAAAACAGTGAAAATTACTAATATTGCCTGTGCATACATTTCATTTCCTATACAGTATCTTCCCCACACTCTGTCTGCCCACTGTTCTTTTGTCTCCTGTGAAGTCATTTGTCTTCATTTACCACACCTCAAAGGAATCCTCTTGTTGTCGATACACACATCCCTACAATTATCCTTCAGAGTACATTAACTTTCTAGACTATCTTTACAATTGGGTCTCTGCAGATGTCTTACTATTCTTTTACTGCAGGTACAAATCTACTGATAAGAGAAAATAACAATAAAGGGATACTTTTTTTGGTCAGTATTTCAGTTCACTTAATGGGCAATTTTAGTAACGTTTTGTTTGGGTAGGGTGTCAATGCAAATATATTTATAAGATAACATCTTATAACAGGAGTACACAACCATTAAGTGAGGAAGTGGAAATATGTATTTATAATATTACTATAATAAATAAGCAATTTAGTTGTTTTAGTACAGTCAGGACAAGGAATGGACATGTTTACCAGTTTGTGTGTATAAAAGTGTATTTAATGAGTCGGTGATTACTTAATTTTTACAGGTGTGTTCTGGTATGGGAAATGCCATCTCAAATGTGCATAAAGAAATATACAAGGCAGCCCGTCATTGTTTGACAGATCGTGTAATGGCTGTTAGGTGTGCTGCTGCTAAGGTACTTTTACATCATCCATTTCTCTGAAGTGTTGACAAAGTAATGGTAAACCATTGCTTTTTTTCTGGTGGTCATGGTATTAAATGAAGTGTATGTGAATTTTGATTGACACTATAGTGACAGATCGTTAAGAAAGCGATTTACCATCTGCTCATTTTCCTATGTGGTTGCCTCGGTATTGCATGTGTGTACTTACCTGCCACATGTCTGGATGTACGTTATAATTCTGTCGCTAAATTTTAATTTACAAATGACTTTATTTTTTCCCAATGGATTCCAGTATGAATGCTAGATGTGTATTTGGCAGATTTCTGATTTGTTTGAATCTCTACATATCAGGGAGAGAAGATATTTTCAGAATGTGTGGAATGGATTCAGCTGGTTTAGGATGTGATCCTTAGTCAGGCTTTTATTAACATGGTAATGATCCTTTGACCTTGGTAACAGGAGGAAAACTTATTTTATAGTTCAGTGGAGTTAGTTACTATCACACAGACTGAATGTGGCATTGTATCTTAAAATGAGTCATAAATATTTCCATCCATTTTTCTCCAAACTTGACATACTCACCATTCATGATGAACCTATATTATTTGGCACTTAATATAGTGTCTGTAGCTGTAGCATTGATAAATATGGTGAATCATTTAAATTCAGAATGCTTTAATTTTAATGCTTTTGAAACTTTAAAATGCTTGTGCAAGAATGTGATCTCTTCAGAAAAAAGAATTTGTGAATTATGAATTTGTTGTTAATTGAGAGCACATTGTTACCAACTTAAGGTCTCACAGCTACTTTCATACTTGGTAAGCAATGTTACATTGTAATTCTTCAACATTATTAAAGGCTTCTCCTTGTTTAACACAAGGTGAAATAAGCATCACAGACTTTCAAATACAAGACAAGCAACAAATTAAATTTTCCTTGAGGACAAAATATTGTCTCACATTTTATGTTCTCACAGCAGTGAAGGTGGCATTTTGTCCAACTCTGCGCTTCTAAATTATAAATCCTGTTTTTAATATTTATACTAAGTACTCTGATTTTTATGATGTGTTTATACTTTTCAGTGTCTTCTGGAGATGTTGAACCATGCACCGTTTCTGTACACAACAGAGCTAGAGAGCTTGGCAACACTGTGTTTCCGAGCATTTGATGGTTCCAATTATGAAGTACGATGTGCTGTTGCAAAGCTGTTGGGAACTTTGATAGCCACCACACAACAGACACAGAAAGGAAATCCTGCAGGTAACAAACAGTCTAACCAACCAAAAAATGTATTCAGAGGAGCAAATGAAGGGTTACTGGAGCATGAAATAGATCAGTCACCTTCTTCTAGTATCAAGGTTAAGAATGTAAGGAGCTGTACCTTCACTCTCCAAAGATGACTTCATTGCATGATCCTTTATTAAGCACAAGGGTAACAATTATTTTAAAAAAGAAAGTTTATTATATCTTACACTATTGCCTGATATCAAGTCGTGAATATTTGAAGACTTAAATATCACCCATTATTTTTAAAATGTGATTTTGCTTTACATTAACTCTGAAGACATGTGTTTATTCCTGATTTGTTTAGCCCATCAGAACAAAGGCTTCAAACCAATTTCCTTAGAAGAATCGTTAGGAGTGTTGATGTCTGGCTTTTTAAGAGGAGGAGTTGGGTTCCTAAAGGGCACTGGAGAAATGATAAAAGGGAGTTCTGGTGTCAATAGGGAAGTTCGTGTTGGTGTTACACATGTGAGTAGACCGTGTGATGTGAACTAAAAGAGGGACGCAGAAGCAAGGAGAAGTAAGAGAACTGAGGGGACTGGCATGTGAAAGAGATGGGAAAGCAATACAGGAAAAAGAAGGGAAGGTGTTTAATATGTGGAAGGGGTAAAGGAAAGATGATGAGGGCATTAAGATACAAAAGAAATCATTGCCGATGAATTTGAACAGGCTTACAAACTATAACTGGCATAAAGATAAAGCCTGTTGTTTGACTTACAGAGGCTGTGCAGAAAACAACCATAGATATTTTTTGTTTCTGGTTGCATCTCTACTCAGAGAGTTTGTTGGAGATTTTAAATAATTCCATGGCATGCGTCGCTTATAATGACTGAATGACAACTTCGCTGAGAAGATAATATCTTATGGGAATGTTTTTGTAATCAGTCTTTTGGCCTCTAATAAAACCTCATATACCTTCTTTCAGGCATATGTGATTTTTGTGCAAATCCTTGGAGGAGTATGGCTAGAGCGCAATATCACAACTCTGCTTACACATGTCCTGGATCTAGTAGCAAACCCAAAAGCAGCATCATCCCATGTAGATGCTGTCTACTCTCGCAAATGCATTAACTTCATTCTCAGGAGTGTTTTGGGTCGCATGCTGGGAGAGAAGGCACAAGCTTCTGCCTGCAAGGAGATAGCTCACATTGTCATCAAGCAGATGAATTCTATTGGTCAGTAGATTGCCTATTGCAGTACTGTGTTTTCTAAAGAAAGATTGACTGTTGGTGTTTGCATGTGTGCCTTTTAAATCAGTGAACAGATGCTCTTTTTTTTTCCCCATTCTGATACTATATTTATTTATGGCAGATGAATCCTAAAATACCACTATATTTCTTGTATTGTTTGCAGACTTTAATCCAGAGAATGCAAAGGATTTTAATCAGGAGACCCTCTTCAGTCAGCACCTGTTGGTTTGTGCTTTGCAAGAGATGGGAAGTATTATTCTTGGGCTTGGAACCACAGCTGGCAACCTCCTCACTGACCAGTCACTAAGTAAGTCATATTGAGTGACATCGGACATTTATGAAGAATATTTATTGATACGAGGTTTGACATACAACTGATATTTTTGTGAGTGGGTTAATCAATTTCAAGATGGAATTGAAGATATTTTAGTAAAGCTGTAGCACTACATGCCATGAAGATGCTTGGGGGAGAGGCGGTTTCGCTCCTACTCATTCTTGACCCCGACATTAGATATGAGTGAGTGATGGGGGTCATGCCTTTGTAGTGCTTTACTCCTGGTGCCCATAGTACCCACTGGATATGAGGCTGGGTGGGCCTTAGAATCCATCTGAATGCTGAATCTAGAAGGAAAGTCCTTTGTCTTTGCCAGCGACCAAACCCCAGTTATCCAGTGCATAGTGAGACACTATACTGACTGAACTACCCTGGCTCATAATGGAAGACATTAAAGGTAACAAAAGACATGACTATCCAAAATCCAAAATACTAATCCAAGTGCAGAATTTTCTGAAATGATGGGGAATAACGGATGACTGATATGTGGTACTGGAATTACAGCCATCATGTTGGAAGCCTCATGAAAGTTAAACGAATGAGCTCGATTGATTTATGCTGGTAAATGTGTACCTTGAATCTGACTCGATCACTTGCATTTTATGTCCGTTATCACGCGAACCAGGAATAAAATTACATACTTCATGTGTAGGTTTGATTGAAGCCATAATGGCAGTGCTGATCCATCCCTGCCAAGCTGCTAGACTAGCAGCTGCATGGTGCCTTCGCTGTATCTGTGTGGCTGTACCAAGCCAAATAACACCTCTCATTGACAGGTTGGTGCTTATGACACAGAACATTACCATGTTTATTTTCATATGTGTGTTTACTCAGTTGCACTCAGAAAGTAGTATTATAATATCTGCAACTTTTGTGGGTAAAATGATTTTATAGAAGATAAAACAAGAGCCTAGCATAAAAATGTACAATTTGCCATTCATTTGATGAAAATAACAAACCATGAGTTTTTGTGTGTCAAGAATTATAAACATGATGATTGTGTAGTGAGGTTATATGTGGCATCTGTATGAGTTGAAATTAGGCATATAAATGGTTGACGAAGTTGTAAATTTGTTAATTTGTAGTTCCTGCCAACCTAAACATAAATTGAAACATTTGAAGTAAAATAGGCATTGTAAAATCTCCAAAACTGCTTGGTTTTATATTCCATCATCATTATAGTGACTGTTATTATATTGTTGGTTTGTTATGTACAGATGTTATTTTTTAATAACATCAGTTTTTATTTTACAGATTAGATAACAATTAGGATCAAAGGTAAGACTTTGAGAACTTTATTATATCATGTTGAAATATTTAATTCTAATTTGCAGATGTGTAGAGGGCATAGAAAACATGCGAACATCTCCTGAAGCTATTGCTGGGTATAGTGGTGCACTAGCAGCTGTGTTGGGTGGCGTTCGATTGTCTCCCTTGGGTGTTCCACACACTAAAGGGAAGGTATGGTCAATACAAATTTTTATTAGAATTATAGGTTATTTTTTATAGCTCTACTTCATCTGTCTTGTTTCTGACTGCAATGTACATCACCAGAATTAGCACCCCCACCTCAGAAATGAATAGTTGTCAGGTAAGCATAACCTGGAGGGAGGGGGGGCAATACTAGAACAAGGTATTCTTGATTTTACCAAGGATTCTGTTTCTTGTCCGCAGGTGATATTTAACACATCTGAAGAACTGTTGCGCAGTGCAAGTCAAAACAGCAGATTGTCTCTTAACAGAACTCAGGCTGGTTGGCTGCTGATCGGTGCTATTATGACACTGGGTAAGCTAACTCAGCTTGATAGTCACTCAACTGGTCAAAAAAAATTCCTGCTTTTTATGAAACCCGAAGTTTCACCACGTAATTCACAAGAGTCCATCACTGGGTCATATCCTGTCACATACACACTATCTGTGCACAAGTCGCTCAAGTGGTCTCAGCCTTTAATATTTTACTACAAAAATTTTTTTTTGCTGGCTCTTATAGTAAGTGTTTATAAAAATTCTTCACCTACATAATTTCTTTATTGAAATATGAAAATGAGCAACTATGAAGTGTTATAAATAATAAAGTTTCATTGTATTCTTAGTGGGGGCAAGATTGCTTCGAAAGGTGACATCTCATTTTTGCAATTTTTCACCCAGCACATGAAATCATCTTTTAACATATAAACATTTTCATTAGTAATGTGGAAACACTTTGTATCAAACAGCAGTGAACAGATTATCATTCATGTATTTTTAAAGAAGTTGAATTAATGCATTAGGTGTTCCTGTGGTGCGTGGTCTGTTGCCCCGAATGCTGTTACTGTGGAGAAATTCCTTTCCACGTTCAAATAAAGAACTGGAATCAGAAAAGGCAAGAGGAGATGCATTTACGTGGCAGGTGAGTCAGTCACATGGCTGTAAATTAAACAAGAATTATGAAAAATTATCATAGTTTTCTGTTTCTTACAAATTTGTTAATTATATGCATATTCTTGAGACTTGCTGTTTATTTTTCTAAAAATTGTCTCAGTATGCAATAAGAGTAGCAGGCATGAAATGGGGGAGGTACAGAGGTTATGTGTTAACTAAATGACCTATATGTATTTATTTAGGTGACTTTGGAGGGAAGAGCTGGAGCTCTGTCTGCAATGCACAGTTTTGTTCAGAACTGCCCCGAGTTGGTTACTGAGGACATCATCAGACGATTGCTTACTCCAATTGAATCTGCCCTTGCAATGCTAACAAAGTAAGTCAATGATCAGAACACACTTGAAGATTTCTGTCTTCTGGGTTGTTGCGCTGTGTAGTCTGGTCGATGTTTACCAATGTTTCAGAGGTCATACTGCCCTGATGGTAAACATCGACCAGACTACACAGCTCAACAACGCTGAAGACAGAAATCTTCAAACTCACCGCTGTGAAAACCTCAAATCTTACATAGAACACTTATAATTGGTGCTTAATTTCATGGTGTAGGAGGTTGGTTATGACCTCAGAATTCTGCCTTGCTGTATTATAAAAGAACTTCACAGAGGAAAGTCTTTAAGAAGCTGTAGTAATCCCTCAGTTAATCAAATACTGTCTTCCTTTTACCCTTTTACAGAACCTGGAAATTCATTACCATTATTCTCAGATATCATCTGTTGAGTACGCTTTTATGAAGTCTTTGCATCATTGTATGTTTTCAGTATATCTACCGTCTTAAAAACATATGGGCAACACCTGAAGGCACCAGCTGCTATGGTGAGGTTGAGATTATATGAAACATTGTTACTTCTCCCTTCACATGCATTTGAAGGTAATTTTTATGGTGGTCAGTATAAGATGGTATGAAAGTTCTTGTTTTCTGTCATTAAATATATAATAATCTTCTATTAATGTGGATGAATGTGCTAAAATTTAATTTTGAAACAGTAAAATCTTGTTAATGGAGGTGCTTCGGGCCAAAAAAATAAAAACATTAAGTTAATTTCAAATTTCCATTACATTCATTACCTTCCAGCTATTGTATTCTGCCAGAAGGAATCATGTTAAATGTGTCATGATATTATCTCTACTCCAAAGAGCAGGAAAATGTAAATAACAGGAGGTTATTATTGTTTTTATCATTTTTATTGGTGACAGCATTGCTTTTGAAAGAAAGTGACATTACTTAGAATTTTTTACAGTCTGTTATATCGCAAGATTTATTAAAATTTAACTTTTTTGTAATCATTTGACCATTGTGGTGATACTCTTGTCTTGTTTCCAGCTTCGTACACACATTTGTTAAGAATGCTTGTAGCAGAATTCACTCTGACTGAAAACCCTGCTAACACAACTACATCACTGCTTCGCACTGTATGTCATGCTGATGACTCAGTTATTTTAGGAACATGGCTGCAAGAAACAGATCACCGCACCATAGAAGATCAGGTTTGTAATGTTCGCTGTTGCCAGCATTACATCACATTAGTCCTTCAACATTCTCATAGTTTGTCCTGAATAGTTGAACTAAAACTGAAGTGTATGTTCAGTTATTTGTAGCATAATGTTCTTTCTTTCTGGCTTCAATTTGCATGAATGGTGGATGAATTTACATATATTTCTTGCTGTCTGTGGTTGTGTGTTTGTTTTGGCATTCTGTTAAGTTTAATATTTCCATTTTATTGTGAAAGTGATGGATAATCTTCCTTCTTTGGTCCATTGAGGATTTATCTTGATAGTAAAATGTGGTATTTTTGGATGCTAAAGTTTCTGATAAGTGGTACATGACTTTGGTGTCAGTACAAGAAATGTACTGAAGGAGACGAAACTTCTATATCTCATGATTAATTTCAACACCTTTATAGAAAGGAAGCTGTGACATAATGAGGGACAGTGAATATGAAGAAATTATAGCTGCTTATGTTTCTGTCGATTGTCAGTATTGTAACTACCAACTTTATCAAAAATATCTGTAAACTATTTGTCTATATAATTTTATTCTAAACATTTTTGCAGCCACTGGAATTTATACTGAGTCACTTGAATCCAGTTCTTATCCTCATACACTATTTAAGAACTATTTTAATATTATTATTTTATCTGTGCCTAGGCATTCCAAATGGTCTCTTCCCTTCAAGTTTTGTAATTAAAATTTTGTATGCTTTTCTCATCTCTTGTGTACATGCTATATGCCCTGCACATTACATTTCTCTTGGTATTATCACCCTAATAATATTTGAGAAAAAGTAAAAATTATTATGCTTTTCATCAAATTGTCTTTATCCTCATTTTACTTCCCTCTGTCTTAGATCCAGATATTCTTTTCAGTACCTTGTTTTTATTTCAAACACCCTCATATGTTGTCTTCCCTCGGGTTGAGGCAGTGTATAGGATATACAACATGACAGTATTTAATAATCAAACATGATGAAACCTGGTAATGTAACAATATTCCAGTTAGATAGCAGGCAGTGAATTATGCACATGCGAGACTTCAGAACCATACATTTTGTCTCTGCTATTTTTGAGAAATAGAATTTCACTGATATGGTAATTTGTATTAAAAAGTTCAAACTTCTATCATTCTGCATTTTTATTTTTATTTATGGTGCTTGTCATTGAAGAAGTTTGTGGACTGGTTGTCATTTTTGTCACTGTGTTTCAGTGCTTAATCTGGTGAGTATTCCTTCTTGTCTGTATGTTCCAGTATTTAAATATTCAGTATGTAGGAAATTTATCCATTAACCTGAGGATAATGAAAACTTACAAAGTTTTGTTATTCTCAGTTAATTTGAACTGATACATATTTCTCAGTATTATGGTGTTTTGCATATATCTCTTTTCCCATTGAAGGAAGAAATCTTTCCCATTACCTTTTACAAATGTTTAACTTTGTTTTTGTTTTTGTCTTTGTCTTTGTTTTTGTTTGGTGTGTCAGATTGAATTAAAACTTTTTGAATGCTTTTGGTATTGATGATTATCTTATTGGTTGATTTTTCTCTGAATCTAATATGTACATTGCTAAGTTTTGTGTTGTATTGGTTATAATCTCATCTTTATCACTGCTCTGTACACACTATAGTTTTCTGTAAAAAACATTCTCAGCACGTAAATGCTGCTTCTCTTTTGTTTTGGTGATGGTTTCTAACGCAATTAACAGGTGGACTTTCTTTTCATCCGTACATCTAGATGGAGCCTAATCGCAGAGCTGATGGAGATCATGTGAGTACATGCCAACTAATATGCTGCATACTTAAATGTCTTGGTTTGGCTTCCAGCTTTGCTAATGTGATGCTGATTTAAATCTGTATAACCTATTTCCTTCATCTTTCTATTTTGTTTTTAATTGGTTTCATTCTGGATTTATTAATTGGGGGAATGAGTGGAAAGGTGTACTCTAGTCTGTAGTGGACATATTTTCCAAGCATATTATTTTCAATATTACAAATATTGCCCTTGATATTCATTAATTGGCAATACAAAATTATATTGTTGCAAAACTAATCACACTTGTTATTATACTGAATTGAATCATACAGTAATTTATTTATATTTCATCAAATATTTGTCTCATCAACAAGTGTTTCCAGTAAAAGTTTATCATAATGAATTTTATGTTTGAGACATTTTGATAAGAACTGATTGTAGTAATATTTGCTTCACAAAGTGGAGATTACATTAGATTGATACCAAAATCAAATTATCAAGACAACTCTCAGTGCATACCTCAGTTTCAGAAATGGTAGAACCTTGTTAGAATATCCTGTCGAGAAACTTTGTATGTATTGATGTTCACGTATTCTGGTTTACTTTACAAAATACAAATACTTTTATCATCTTTTCTCACTTTGTAACTTACTTTACATATATACATGGTATTGTGTCCAGTAATGTACATAAGTAAGTTTGGGACTCCTTATATGTATTGCTACTGGAAATGGTTGGTAAGTTGTTTGTATAATGCTTAGATTAATCTGATAAGTGTTAACTTTGTAGAGTAACAGAATTGTTTAATTTTTCTGATTTATTTGTGCTGTATTGCTCAGCACACCTTTATAACTGCCAAATTATAACTTATGCATGTGAGAGTAATTTTCATGGCTGTACCATATGCAATGTTATTCTTATTATTTAATTGTTTTGTAAATTGTGAATTGAATTTCTTAGGAAAATGCAAATAATAATAATAATAATAACAACAACAACAACAATGACAGAAACTGGGTTGATTTGTTATGTGATAGGTTATTTAACACAGTAGAGTGCTATTTGACTCTTAACTCAAGATACTTACACAAATTTTGTAAGAATTTGTGGGTTTGATTTGGAAATTATGTTCTTGCCTCCTTTTATTCCTTTTGATATGTCACTTTAAGCATTTTGCTATTGCTCCAAGTTTTTGTTTCATAGTCAAGACATTCAGGCAGTGTTTTGCATTAAACTGTTCTAGGCCTGCTGTTATTTGTATTATTGTTGTTTTGGATGCAAATCTTATGCAGTTTTCCATATAATTTTATTGCAGACTAAACAGTATTATAATTAATTTCACTGATACTTGTTAATTAAAAGTTTATACCCAGATGCATGATTTATCATCTATTTTGTTTTCATATGGCTGCTTTTATTCTTGTGCTTAAGGACCACACCATGAAGATATACGTGACAGTGGAGGTAAAGCAAGCTCCATGTATTCTGAACTTCAGGACTAGATAGATGTGAATAGTCAGCTTCATACTCAGGACACTTCCCTTGGGAGAATAGCTCCCATTATCCAGAGAATAAGGTACTGTTAGCCCCAAAGCCAGAATAGATGAAGCAGCAAAGAGAAGAATCTGTGTCCTGTTGGGAATGAAACTACAAGTCACTGTACTTGCAGAGTTACTGTGGCTCATGCATATGTATGAATAATCTTGTTTATTGCATATAATAATGATATATGCTTTTGTTTTCTAGCTTCAGCCAAACAGTGCTGCTGGTTCTGGGGCTTTGGAGCACGACTCATGTTGCTTGTATCGACCAGTATCTCCTGTAAGTATCATTAACCTTAAAAGAAGATAAATCATGTATTATTCCTTTAGAGCAATTTCAATTTGTAGTTCTTTTATAGGGTGAATTTGTTCCTGGGCCACTTCCACTGGGTGTTGCTGTCATTGACATGTCAGTGTCCCTGTTTGGTCAGATCTTCCCACGTGTTGCCAATAAGCATCGCTTGCAGATGTTGGACCACTTTGCAGAATGTATACGCCATGCTAAGTCTTCACGCCAAGAAGCAGTACAAATGAATGTGTTCACCGCTGTTCTTAGTGGCCTCAAGGGACTTACAGAGGCCAAAACAACCTTTGGTCAAGATGATGTGAAAAAGTCAGCTGCATCCCTTATAATTGTAAGTTCAGGATTTCTTTCTGCTTTCTCCATATTCTAATGGTTCTGAAAATCTGAGTAAAATTAGCCTATATAAAACTCTACAAGAAGGGAATAAGACCTTTCACTTATAGTATAAATAATAAATTTCTATTGTATATGTAATTTGTTCTTATGAGAATGCAATATATCAAGAGCGTCTTCACTTTCTGGTGCACTAATGAAGGCTTTCTTTGTGAGGGAATGGTTTGACTTCACACTTTTCATAGGTTTGATAGAACACTGAGACATAAATATTATGCCAGGGCCTATAAACAACATGACCTGGAAGTGGTATTTAAATAAATGATTAGTTAATACTACCTTGGAAGGACTAAGGTGTCAGACACAAAGAGTAATACTTTGGTCTTTCATTATGGTTAGGAGTGAGGTATGTTAATGGTAAACATGTAGCCAAGAAGATTACATTCAAACATGTTTGGATTTATTTAATCAGTAGGATTCTTTTCCAGTTACACACTTATTTTAAGGTAAATAGGGATTAATGTTGTAATTTTTTACATTCAGTTTATTTTGTTACAACTTGAGAAGTGCATTATAAGTTTTCTCCATTTCAACATTTTGGAACCTTTATCTGTTTCCATTATCGTATAACAATTTCATAATTTCATGGATCTGTTTGACAGAGCTAGTCTAGATTCCTGGGTGTATATATATATATATATATATATATATATAACAACATGACATGTGGATGCGGAACATGCTGTCCTTGAAGATGGAGCCAGTATGTTCCTCATATGTCATTATAAAACCAACAGACTGCATGGTGCAACAACCCAGGACACTACTATGAATGCCCTTCACCATGAAGACTCAGAATCTTACAGTATCCCATATACTTGGTACATCAAGTATGAAGGTCTAATACTGATGCATGCTTTGACCTGACATAAATAGTGTGATATGTGAGTTAAAAGTGCATTGTTTGTGTCTTTAGGGTGCTCTGACAAGCAGTAACCCTATCCTGAGGTGTGCTGCAGGAGAGTCACTTGGACGCATGGCACAGGTGGTAGCTGACTCGCGATTCACTGCAGAGCTGGCACAGACAAGTTTTGATAGGCTCAAATCAGCTCGTGATGTGGCTTCAAGGACAGGACATTCACTTGCTCTAGGCTGTCTCCATCGTTATGTGGGAGGCATGGGGTCCAGCCAGCATCTCATCACTAGTGTTAGCATATTGCTAGCACTGGCACAGGATGCAACATCTCCTGTTGTGCAGGTACACACAGTGATTAGAACTGAAGCAGAATTGTTGTTGCATTTCTTCACTTCATATTGCAGCAGCTTGTAAGCTCAAGAAATTTATTATATTTAATTCCACAAAACTAACTTGAATTCTAATTTGAGTCCAGTTTCCAGAGGTAGTTACGTAGGGGAACATGTGGTTTGGTTATTATTATTTTTACACTTTCAAGTTATATTTGCTCATATACAAGGGGATTTTATGGCCAGAATGTATAATTGGTACAATCATGCTGAAAACAAAAAAAATACTGTCTTTTATAACTTTCTGACACTTGTGAGGTTGCTAATATTATTGCCAGCATTGGGTGTCTGTCTCATTTGACAGTATACAAACATCCTGACATTGGGGGATGCTTCTTCAGACTCTCTACCATCATCTGTTAGTGTGCTGGGATTGTCAGCAAATTGTATTTATCTGTTGCAGGTGTGGTCTTTACATGCACTCGCCCTAATTGCAGACTCTGGTGGACCCATGTTTCGAGGCTATGTCGAACCATCTCTGTCATTGGCTCTTAAATTGCTGCTCAATGTACCACAGTCCTACATTGATGTGCACCAGTGTATTGGCAAAGTTTTGTCAGCTCTCATTACCACTGTAGGACCTGAGCTTCAAGGTAGGAAAATACATTAACCATGTCATCTACAAATCCCTTCTTAAAAAATTTATCTTCTGTGCATAGTATCCTGAAAAAATAACTTGTTTACAAATAATCTTGTGTGCATGCATGCATTTCTGAAGATAATGTACATCATTTTGATTACACTCAAAAAAAGTTTTAAGAATGTTCCACTGACTAAACAGTATCAGGTTTGAGATTTTAGGGTCTCACAGCATTGAAAATGTCCATAAGTGGTCTTCCTCTGAGTTGTGATGTGTAGACTTGTAGATGGGTACCAGTATTTCAGGGATCAAGATGGAGGCAGCATGTTTCCATGGACAGGGTCAGGTTTGATAAAAACAACCAGTAGCACTAACTTTTAAAATGTTGTATATATCAAATGTGTGTCAGACATTGGACAGTGTTCAACATAGTTGTGATGTTTGGAGTGAGTATGCTGAAGAGAATAAAAACTGTGTATTATGAAATGTTCTTGATCCTTCTGTGACTGTGTTTTTGAGACTTTAACTTTATCATGAATATTCATATCTTTGAAGCATGTCACAGAAATTTCCATTAACAGTATTCCTTGTTTTTTGCTATGAAGTAAGTGGGAATCTTATTTACATTTTCAGGCAACACCACATCAATCTGCATGGCTCGTTCGTCTTTCCTATGCGCATGTGCTATCATGCAGGATCACCAAGATCCATTGGTTCAAGCTGAGGCAACAGCTTGTTTGCAGCAACTGCACCTGTTTGCACCCCGTCATGTTAACCTCTCCTCCCTTGTACCAACACTATGTGTAAGTACCAAAGGTAGCTTAACTGACAAATGCCCTATCTGTTATGAAACTTAAAGGTTCATTAAGAGCCTGCCACTATTAAGTGTCTAGTAGTTACTTATAAGCCTGAAGAGTAACAGGTCATTGTAGGAGGAATTAATTAAACCTGGTATTATTTTCTCTGAAAGGTAAGTCAGCTAAAAAGACAATTTAATAACGTGGATTCAGAAAAGCCTCCTTTCTAAGTGGCAGCCCTCATTTTCATTTAAATTTTTTTGACATGACACCTACTTCATTGCTTCCCTTCTGCACAGGCAAAGGAGGAAACTAGGGACATAGTGCAAAGGTCATATGGCACAGTTGATAAATTTTAAGCAATACATTTCAGTGTTAACATTACCAGCACAACCAGTGCCATTTGTGATTTAATTTACATTGTCCCATTTCCATGTCTCTGCCCTCTATATTTTACTTATGTTTGTACCGATATCCAGTGGCAACAGTAATAAGTTGTTGAAAATCAAATCAGTTCATTCTGAATGTTTTATGAAAATTAATTCTTGTTTAATCCATCAGATGTCTGATATGCATCTCTTTTATGGACATGCAAATGGCAAAAGTAAGGAGACAGAAGGCAACAAAGGATGTTTTGAGCACTTGCAATGAAACTCTGTTCATTGTTTTGGCACGTAGAACTCATCCTTACATTTATGCCAGACGTTAAAGTTACACTGTGTTAAGTCATCATTTTTATCTATAAGCTGAATGAGAGTATCTTTCCACTCTGCATGTACTTGTTGGTGTATTGTTACAGCGTACTTTATCGAGTAATCATTTGTTACTACGGAAAGCTGCAATTTCATGCTTACGACAACTTGCCCAGCGAGAAGCTAAAGAAGTATGTGAACATGCCATGACTCTTGCCAGTGAGAGTAGAGATACCAACATTGTAGAAGGTAAAGTAAGTCTTGTATCTCTCGAATTCTTGGGGGTAGATTAACTCTTTTCAGTAAATTAAAACATTCTGGGAAGATTTTGGGCTTACTTTTGTTACTGTCATGTCATTTTGGACTTGTTGCAGGTTTAGTGATCACTGATAGTGGTCTGCCTGGAGTGCTGTTCAGCATGCTTGACACTGAGACAGACAGCAGACTTATCAAAGACATCCATGACACTTTGACAAGCATGTTACAGATGATGGCTGCAGATAACCTGTCACAGTGGCTGTCCCTCTGTAAAGATGTCCTCACTGTTGCCACAGGTCAGGAGCTACTAAATATTTTTTTGAAGTATGTATTGCTTCCTCTCTTGTGTTTTGGAGAATATATATACGGGATGATACCAGTGTATAGGGTCTCACTATTGCTATCAAAGTTGAATTGATGCTCATTTTGGCATCAATGTTGCATGTTGATACCAACATTTTGGAGATATATACTGTCCCCATCTTTAGCTGAACTCTAAGTCCAGTCTTAATAATATGCTACTGCAACGCACAGCCAGCAGGGCCACTCCAACATGAAATTTAATTAAAAAATAATCTCTGGTTTCAGAGATCAAACATGCATATGGATAGATGGACAAAGAGACATGACCACTCCATTTACATTAATTTTATACAGTTTGTACAAAGAACACATAAATGTGATTGGCATTGGATTTATATGCTGGAGTAGCTCAGTCTATAGTGCATCACTATAAACTGGATGACTGGGGTTCAGTCCCTGGCAGGGGCCTCTGCATCCAGATGATTGTGGGGCCCACCCAACCTTCAATATAGTGGGTACTGCGTTTCATTTCCCCGGGGGTAAAGTTCTGCCGGCGTTTGATTATGATCACTTACTTCTGTCTAGTGCTGAGTTCAGGAATGAGTAGGAGCTATATCTCCTCTCATCCAAGTGCTTTCATGGTGCATAATTTCTCAGATTTAGTATTTTTAGGGAATCCTGTCAGAAAGTAATATTTAGCAAAATCATCACTTAACTTGGGTTTGGTGTTTCTTTCAGAATCTAGTAGCGTTGGAGATGAGATAGTTGGAGTTATAGGTGGTGGAGAGGTGGAGGAAGGAGAAGATGTGGAGCCAGATGATGATCAGGCTGAGTTTCATGCTGCAGATGATCATTCAACACACCCTGCAGTACAACCACGTTGGCCCACCAGGGTGTTTGCTGCAGAATGTGTTCGTAGGATTATAGTGGCATGTGAAGGAAATAAGAGTGCCCACTTTGATCTCTCATTAGCCAAAGAGATGCAACTCACCAAAAGTAGAGGTGGGTTCAATTTCTTACTCTCTCATACAAACAAGAGGATCATCTTATATAACAGTTTTTCCAAAACAGTGCATAAGAAATTGAAAGTATTAGATTACTTTATTTATAGTTTATATGAAAAGACTTTCAGCGTATCATGATTATTAATGAATAGTGAATGAAAAAGGATTTGGAAGGAAGAGGTTATGCTTATTTTAAAAATGATAGGGATAATCAGGACATGTAACATACATAAGGGAAAATGAGAAATCAGTACAAAATGTTGATTTGAAAACTTCATGGGAAGAGAGTGCTTGAGAGACAGGTTGAAATGAGAGAATAATATTGAAGTGGATCTTACAGCGTAAGATAAGAGGGTGTGGGTTGGCGTCAGATGGTTCAGGTTAGGGACAGTGATGGGCTTTCACAAACTTGATAATGAAGAAAATTTCTTGAGCACCAAGTAATTTCTATGAGCTTGTCAAGACAGATTCTATATCAAGGAATTATTGTAATTATTCATTGCTTCCTGAATTTTATTTATTTATAACTAAGTGAATATTTAAGCATCATATATCGATTATTCATTTATTGATAGATTCATATTGATTTATTGTTACTTTCAGGAGACTATCTGGTTTTACATCTGTCAGATTTAGTGAGGATGGCTTTCATGGCAGCAACCAGTGACTCAGACCCCCTACGACTTGAAGGCCTCAAAACACTGCATGAGGTGATAGATAAGTTTGCCCGTGTGCCAGAGCCAGAGTTTCCAGGACACCTTTTGCTGGAGCAGTTCCAAGCCCAGGTAAGCAATTTTGTGTGTGCGCACACATGCACACACCCATACATGTGCATGTATAATATCATCAACTTCACAACTAGGTCCAGTGGCATGTTCATTCCAAAACACCTACCCTTGCCTTGTGAAATTATTCCAGAGTTTCTCCAGCCAACTGTCTGCTGGTGTTGGTATATGTATTATTATTATTTTAATAAAGGGTGTGTGTATTACACATTTCATCTTCCATTTGCTGAGCAGGTGGGTGCAGCTTTACGGCCAGCATTCTCTCCAGAGACTCCATCCCATGTGACAGCAGCAGCATGTCAGGTTTGCAGTGCATGGATTGGAAGTGGAGTTGCTCGTGACCTGAATGACCTGCGGCGAGTTCATCAGCTGCTTGTTTCGTCCCTGGAAAAGCTCCGTCGGGGCACATCTACTATTCAGTTATACAATGAGAGCCTTGCCACACTCGAACGGCTTGCCATTCTTAAGGCTTGGGCTGAAGTGAGTAAACCAGCCTTGTAGAAATAAATGTGGTTGGTGTGATTTAGGCTACGAATGAAAGTCATTGGTTTGGAAACTTTTATAAACAGCCACAGTTTTGTTGACAAATTTGTCTTGGTACATAATGTAAATGACATATGGCTATAAATGGAGATTATAACAATTAATTTGTTTATAATTTCTGTTAGATTATACAGCAATTTAAAATAGAATATTAAGGTCATTTCCTTCTTGATCACCAGTATCATCCTCATTCACATCTTCGTATAACAGTATCATATACGTGATCATCACAAAATATTAATCTTTATCAGTCTTCTCATTAAACCCATTGTGTTTGCTACAGGTATTACAGAACAGAATCATTCCATCTTTCCTGAGGTCATCATAATACTCTTCCTACCTGGGTTGATATTCTTAAATTCTTTTCAGAATCATTTAAAGTTTATTCAATCTCTTGTATAGAATATATTTACAAAATTGACTATAATGAAGAGTTTATTACTTGTAGCTATATATCTGAAGTTCGAGTTTCGTTCTGATGGATGGGATGTAATTAGCATAGTTACTTCTTTCAGGTGTATATAGTAGCGATGATAGGGAATGGCTCAGCTCCTGGTTGTCTAAACACAAACCCCAAACCTGCACCTTCTAACATATCGCCTGATAAAGATGAAGAGGATTTTGGTGATTTTGAATTCAGAGGAGAGAGTCTCCTGAACCTGGTGCAGCCAGAACTAGTGAGTTTGTCTCAGCACTGGTTAGCAGCACTCCGGGATCATGCATTGCTTTCTCTGCCACCAGGTAATCCTGTGACAATATATGATGCGATATTATGTAAGTAACAAATTATGTAACTACAGTGATATCTCATTACGAAGTATGCCACTTCCATTACTGTGTTCCGAGTGCCTTTTCTTAATCCCTGTGAACTGGCCTTATAATTAAACTTCAAATCCATCAAGATGAGATATTATGATACACATTTCAGACTGAATAGAAGCATGCATTTCCCACATTTAATTGTGCTCTTAATTTCATCATGGATATAATTTTCTTTGTTTACTATGATTTCGAAGCACTTGAACTCTACCTCATTTTTATAATCAAAATATCTGATCCAAGATTCTAGTTAAAGTACTTTTTCCTGCATTTTAAGCTTCTAATTTTTGAGTCATCATAGATGTAAATAGGGGCATTATCAGTATGGTACATTATAGTCAGAGTGCACCATTCTACTCATATATTTAGGTTATATCAGAATTTTCCACCTGTAATTTTTTTTATTTTTAGAGTTTGCTAGTCAGCTGCCTCACGATGGAGGAGCATTCTACACGACAGACACCATGGAGTCTTCCCGACCTCACTATGCAGCCTCATGGCCCCCTATTCTACATGCTGCTGCCCTATGGCTGAATGTGAGTGGATTTGATAGCAGACCAACCAATGCTTCCCCTGTGCCAAACAATAACAACAGTGATAAAGCTGGAGATTCTGCTTCTGACAGATTTCATCTCCTGTTCGGTAAGTGGTAAAACCACACAGTGGATGTCTGGTTACATAAAAAAGGCAATACCATGTATTTCTGAGAGATACAGTACATACATGAGGCAGTATATGTATTTTTAATTGACTCTGAAAATTACATGTTGGACAATGTTTACACAGCATTCGGTGTTCTGTAAAGATTTTCTGAGTGTAGTACCATGTCAGAGTGGTAAAAATTGTTGACATATCAGAGGAACTTGCTTTTGTACTGTTTAGTGTTGACATAGTTACACGTTTCTTTGTTTCAGCGTAAAGCATTTGTCACAGAACCGGTATGTTGATCAGACATGTATTAGATGAGAATGACAATAGAATTCCTGTAAGGTTTTTAAATCTGAGCAGTAACTGTATGTACCACACAATTTAACATTCACTAACTACATTTTCCACACAGTGTACATTAGGGGTTTCATATAATTCTTGGAACAAATAGTATTAATGAATTGATCTTTGTAATGGAGAAGTAGGAACTCAGTCTTTAAATGCGGGCTTCGAAGGGTGAAGTGCTTTAAAAATGAGGATGTCATGTAAGTGATTCTTGGAAAGAATATAGGATGTGATTGTAGCACCATATAGTCTGGCAGAAGTTTACTGACATCAGAAATGTTGGTGAACTTTTACCAGACTACACTGTGCTACGACCCAGAAGATAGCCATATTCATTCTCACCACCATGAGAACCTCAAGTCTTACCTACTTTGATTTTATTTGGTTTAGGATTAGTTCCAGTGACAGTCTTCTGTGAACTTGGTGAAAAATGTATGATCCCTTATAAGCAAAGAATTTCTTGATCAGCTGAGCAATTATCTGTTTTAGAAGAAGAAAATGTCCCATGTGGTTAGGTAACATCTGATTGTGACACATGCATAGAAAACTTGCAGTACAGATAGAAATGGACCATTCCATTAAATTACTTGCTGAGTTATTTTTCTTTACTATCTTTACAGGAATATGTATGGAAGCAATGTGCAGTACAAGGTCTTCAGAACCCATTGAGAGTGTTATAACATGTCTACAAGCCTTGTACACACTGCTAGATTCTGATTGTCCTAGAGAAATTCTCATGGGTGACAGGTCTCTTGGAATTGAGCTCTGCAATGTGCTGCACAGGTTAGGTTATAATTCTTACTGCCATGTTATAGTTATCAATAATACATTCTTGTTCTGTCTTATAATGCTAACAAAATCTAACTTCTTTCTTTGTTTCCAACAGGTTGATATTAACAAGAGACAGTCTTTATGTTCAACTTATGGTAATGGAAGTGCTTAAGCAAGTGATGAAAGCTGCTCAAGAAACCTTTGATACATACAAAAAGAAGAAAATTAAAGGTATTATTCATCACGGCTTGATGAAGTTGTATATCTGTAATTGCCTGAATAATTTGCACAGGAATCAGTTTGTGGTAGCATAAACCCCCAGCTGAAGTTGGAGACTATGTTTCTTTGAAATGTTGGCATTACAACCCAGAAGACCAAAATCAACATATATGTATATTAGAATATTTAATGAATTTAATAAGCAATGCAAACAATAAAGGTTCACTGCATTAAAGAAACAATGACTTATTCTTACTTATCATTTGACTTGTGTTCTAAAAGTGAAATGATGTTACATTACATTTTTTACCTTTTATTTACTACTGTGGCACCACATAGTGAAAAATCTTGTCAATCTTAAATAAATTGCTATATGCATTAAACCATGTATGGTTGCCTAGTGATGAGACAGTGTTGAGCCTAGATCCCTAACATGTTAAACACTTAACCGTTAATAAGGTGCGTGTTGTCCAGTGATCACCATATTGTGAGCTTTTAGATATCTCTACAGTGTACATATTTGAATACTGTGTTCTTAGGTGTAAAATTATAATTTGAGACCATAAATGTTAGAAATGTATTCTGTGCCATTTGGTACCATTCTCATTCTAAAATCTGAAATACCAATTATGCAAATTACAGAAATGGTGCCAGCAAATCAGGAATCTCGTGCAACACAAGAAGTAGATTTACTGGGAGAAGGTGGTAGCACTGGTGATATTGTACCCGGACAGTCCTTGGTGTTCGCAGTGTTGGAAGTGTGTCTATGTCTGTTGGTACGCCAGCTACCTGTGTTAAATCCTTCACCTGGACCTGTCCCCATAGTCAGACAGCATCACACTCTTCCCCCTACAGAGGAGTCAGGACAATTGATAGCCGCTGCTCTTTCCACTATGGAATGTTTACCTAGACTCTGCTCCCCACAGGGTGAGTACCCATAGTGAGTACTAACAAACAAACCAGTTCTTGAAGTTTCAACATTGCTTAGTATGAAGCCTGCCATTATACATTCTCTTGGCTCACTTATATACACCAACAGTCCTCGCAGTTGATTTCCTAAGTTAGATTTGAACTACCTATGTTGACTACTTAATTCCACACTGTGGTGAAGAATTTTAATATGAAAACACCTGAAATTGTAACCATTTTAACTATGTTGTGGTTTGTATTGTTAAGGTTTGGTTCTGACATTGAATATCCTGACACCTGTATTATTTATCAAGATTTGAGGTTCTGAAAGTGGTGAAGATATCAAATAAGCAAACAAACAAACTATGAACACTATAAATGACACTAGTGCCAAATGCGTTTCGACCTCAAGAGGTCATCATCAGTGGCAAAAGGGGAATTAATTCATATAATCAAAAATGGTTTTAAAATAAATCATGAAGTTGAGTTCTTTACAAAACCATAATAAGTAACACTACATTAGATGTTGGTTTCACAGGAGTTGTACTCTGCATTTAGCTATTAGTCCACTGGTCTGTTGGCCGTTGCAGAGTACAACTCCTGTGAAACCATTTACTACTTTATGTTCCTCTTAACATGGCCACTAACTCCATAAACTTACCAGAACTTCACATAATATTAAATATGAGTAGGAAGACGTTCTTGATATTAAGTGACTTATATCCTTGATTTTATCTTCTAGGTGCTGTTGCTATCTTGCCAACCATTCTGTACCTCACCACTGGAGTGATCAAAGAGACTGCCACAAAGAGTATCCATGATCCAACTGTAATAGCCACTGCTGTTCCTGTCACAGCTGCTCTCCACTGTTTGAGAACCCTAGTCACTGATAAGTACTGTAAGGATGAGAGGTCAGGAGAGGACTGGCGTAAACTGTTGCAGAGTGCTCTTGCAAAAGTAATTGATCTTGCCAAGACAGGTAAGGACTTTTTAACATTATCATCAGTTGGTATTTCTACCAGGATGGGGCATCCATTGATAAAACCTTCTTTATTATTCTCTTTCTATGATAAGCACACTTGTATCTGTATCCACTCTTTCTTTGTTCTCTTTTGTATATCATCCTTTCCTTAGTTCCTCCACCTAGTCCTTTCTCTCACCCATGGTTGCTTATTCAACATCATATCACTATATCTTTAATTTTACCACTTCTTCTTGTGCTGTTTCTGTGTTAAGATTCTGCTTAATGCCCTGGTTTTAGGTTTTATCTGTTTTTATTTATCATTTAGTAGCCTGTAGAAATGTCACCAAACTCAAATATCTTTGTAATAACTTCTGATCCAACAGTTTGTGTATATGTTCTATCTATTCATATGAGTTTTAACAGAATCCAATATAATAAAAACCTAAAATTTTCCCTGTAGGTTCTTATACATCTTATAATTGCAAGGTATTTAAATAGGCTGGACACAGCTCAAATGAAAGAGGCAGAGAATGAATGCTACTGAATTTTGGTGCAGAATTCTTTGGTTAGGGATTACGTGGAATAATTATTCAGTAAGGTTATCCTGCCATGTCCAAGTATACATAGCAACTCTGCTTTGAAAAATATTTTAGAAATTATTTTCAGCACATATGTTAAGAGAAGTGGTGTGGTCTACTGTGTTTATTCAGTGAAATATAAAACTTTGCATTATATGTTCTCATAATAGGAAATAACACCCTTATAGTTTGTTACCCATCATGACAATAGTGAAATAAATTGTGGTTGCAGGTTCAGATGAGACTAAGTTGGATGAGGTGACAATGCTGTTGGCTATTGCAGTGTTTGTTCTGCATGCTCCAGCTGAAGTGGTTTGTGCCCCAAACTTACAGTATCCCTGCATCAATCAGTTCAAACAATGTTTGCAGAGCAACAACATTACAGTAAGTAGATTATATTTACAGTAAAAAACAAAAAATGTACAGTCCATTCACTGACAAGATGCAAACATTGCTTGCTGTAAGCACAGATAATAGAATCATTTCCCTGAGTCATTCAGTACATTTTACAGTTTTAAACAAACAATCAGGATACATTATTCTGTTACATAGTGTAAATTCCCTGTACGTGTTTTCTTGTCAAAGCATCTTAGACACTAATCATCTCCCAGAAATTCTCATAATAAATTTTCCTTAGTTTAATATTATCATAGTAAGTGCTTCATAAAGATGTGATTATGTTACCAGGTGAGGCTGAAGTGTGTGCAGACAATGCGCACAATTTTTGCACATTCGGACCGCAATGTTGCCACACCATATATCCATGCCTTGGCACCACGCCTTGTTGAGTTTCTGTACTCTGAAACAAGCAAGCAGTTGGCATCAGATGTTGAACTCTCACTTACTCTGGAGAGCATCCAGACAGTTGAAACACTCATCACACTTGCCGAACCAAAACACAGTACGTAAGCTGGTCCTGTACTAATACTGACATAATCAATAACAGCACAGCTGTATCTAATGTTTTAGAGGTATTGACACATTTGAAATATCAGTAGTAGATAAATGTAATACTTGTTTATATAATTATCATACAGTGTGCATCAGTTTATTGATCTTTTGTTCAACTATCATCAGTTTAGCAGTAAACTTAATTGGAATATCTCTGAAAGTTAACATGTTAACGCACTGTAATTTTATTGTGAACTTAAACCTTTTAAATTTGAAATCTGGAAAACTACACAGACTTTTTAACATTAATGTGCATTTTAGAGAAAATTTCAAACAAATTCATTAATCTGTGTAAAATCTATAAATGTTTGATAAAAGAACATAATTATTGTAATGATATATGGTGACACTAATTTACCAATGCCATGGAGCAGAGTCCTTCTTTAGAAGCTAGTATTTGCACATATAGCCAAGAAATTCTGTTTGTTATGGAACTTGTAGGTTCATAGCTGTATTCACATGAAGCCATTTTTACATTGTGTAAAATAATTTAAATGTTACTTATGTTTGTCTGTGCTTTCCAGGAGATTTAATGCAAGGCAAGTAATCCAACAAGGTGCATTAATATGGAGTTCAATTAATAGCATTCAGTTGTAATTTACTATGTTTCTTCGATGGAAGTAATGACCTAATTGAATCTAATAAAACACTATGGTATCCTTTTTGAATTTCAATATATATTTGTTTTAAAATAAAGTATATATAAGTATTTATGATACAGAGTTGGAATTGTATGGAAGGCTTTCATTGAAAGGGGCATAGATTCCACATATTCCTGGTTTATTTGTGTCTAAGCATTCCATAGTGGATATTGGTGTCGACTGGGTTAGATTCCACAAATAGCTATCGTGACAGACTGGAAGAACAGGTAACTTGTTTTCTTCATATCTTTGTTTGAAACATTTACTTTCTTAATTGTAGGAGTTCAAATGCTTACACTCTTAGTTCCAATCCTGGTGAACTGCCTTCTTGAAGGTCCTGCTCTCAAAGAGGCTAATAACTTCACCCGAATTCTTCATGAACAGAGCTTGCAAAAACTTATGAAGATTGGGCCACAGTATCCACAGGTATGACTTCTATTTGTCTGTTAACTCTTCATCTCTGAAGTACTAAATGGGTTTGAATGAAATTTTATATTCTGAAGATTGCTAAAAGTCGTCAGGCAGTTTTAATTTTAATCTTATTGATCTGGTATGACCAATATATTAAACTGGGATGATAATAAATTCAATTTTTATGCACTCAGTCATACTATGGTCATCCAGGAGTAATATATATCCTTGAGTAGCTTTTATTCTAATGTGTCTCTCCTTCAAATCTTGCCAAATGAGTCTTAAATTTTATTCTTTCATCATTTCTTAGTACAAAGTAGAAACGTATGCTTATTGCTTGTGATCTGTTTATGGCTCTCTGTATGTGTCAAAACATACATATTGTATGTGTAATATAACATAACTTGAATCTTTTCTTCAATTTTCCAATTCAGTCTCAATTGCACATAATTCCTATAGTATTTACTTGATGCAGAGGAATGATATTTTGACAAAGAAGTTTGTTTTTAAAATTTATTGAGAAGAACTTTTCACCCTAATCTTACTTCCTATTCACTTAATGTACTGCATAGTGTATCATTTTCCATGAATGCAACCCTCGACAGTAGGGAGTTGAACTGTATGAATAAATCTTTTAGAGTGTCAGCTGATATCCTTGATCATTATTTTTGAAAAAAAGCAGTTGTGTACTTTTCTTGCTTGTCCAGGAGTTCAAGGCACTGATGTCACAGTCTGGTGAACTCAGAAGCAAACTGGAAGCTGCTGTGCGGTCAAGTCAACAGGCTCAGCAAAGATCCAAGCTGGAGTCAAACGCTACCAAGCTACCATTAGCCCAGACTCCAACAATTAAGCTTAAAACTGACTTCAGTAACTTCACATCATAGACAAAAAATATTGTCATGATATGGGAACATAGAAAAAAGGTACCAGCAACACTTTTCCTGGATCACAAGACAAGCTCAGATATTGAGTCTGTTTTCTAGAAGTACAATTAATGTAGTTCTATCATAGATACCTACTGCCAACTTTAATGTTTTCCTTTTTCATTTCATTCCTTCTTGCTGATATCTGTAAGATTTTTAGTCAGTGACCAGAACAGACTATGTCATTTTTCTTTTACTGTTATTTTTGATCTGTCAAATCACAAGACCCATTTGGCACTCAGTGTCACAGTGATTCTTGGATTTACAGGAATGAATGATGAATGAATGATTGATTGATTGATTGATGGATGGATGGAATGATGTATCGCATCCATCTGGTATAATTTATTACATGCCATACTTCTTAATATCTAAACTGTTTTAGCTCCATCTATTCTGTCCATTGGTCTTTGCCTGAATAGTCATATTGAAACAATTTTAATTTTTCTTTTAAATTTACTTTTTAAATTACCTATTTATTCCTCCATTAATAACAAATTATATTTAATATTTTTGTGATGAAGTATGTTTCTTTGAACTGATAATTTATCAGTATTATTTTATTATAAATGATTTTGAATTCTTTAATTAAAAATATCAATAATTAGCCTAATTTTTGTTTATGTCATTTGACATAGTGTTCATTTCCTGCCTTTCCTTTATTTATATGTGTAGATGTATTTATTACCTGAGACTAAGAATATGTTACAGGACAAAATTACTATGCTGACTGAAATCATGAATATTCTTAGGTTACAGAATCACAAAAAAAGTATGAGTAACACTGGGAGAGCTGATTGTGTGACATGTCTTGCAGAATAAGGAAATGTATGCTCAGTCAGCAAATATAGTTAGGAAATCATATTCATATATGCAAGAATAACAGTATATTCCTCATTAACATTCCTAGCAAAGAAAATGGTTCATATTTGTAGATATTAATAGATGTTCTTCCATGTGTTCTACTGTTAGGCACAGCAAAGAGTTGAGCATTGTTTTTATCACTTGTGAAAACAGGATTTCCATATTCTCAGATTCTGAAATATGAAGTATCTGATGAATAGAAGGGAGACCAATATGGAGAGGCTTTGTGGGTTTTTGACTGTTCCTTAGAGCATTGTGATAATACTTTCCTTTTTATCTTTACCAATTTCTAATTCAAAATAACCCATATCATTAAAATTAGAAGCCTAGTAGTTTATTCACAAAACCTATTTTCCAATGGTAATGTGGGACATCAAATATAAAAGTATAGTGCACTTAAGGTGGAAGTTCATTAATAATACTGTTACATCGTCATCTCCATTTCCATTACTGCACAATTTAAATATCATAATTCCTACCTTGGTCTACATAAGTGTTACATCTGTTTTACATGGTGCAACTTTTTGCCTGTAATATTTGTTACTAGCTCCTTTTATATAAATTCCTTAGTGAAGATTAATGTTACACATTAGTAAATCATTACCCCTCTCCTTTCTCTTTTACATCTTTTAGCTAAATAATATATTTCCATAACCCAATTAGATAATTCCATAATCCTTATTAGACAATTTGAAGTTGACTGTGATGCTCATACCAGTAAGCAGGGTCAAAATTAAACTCTAGATGGAATAGTCATAATTGATATGGAATGAATATTTGATACAGTGGAGCCAGTCTATGGAAAACACAGTGTCTTTTTGTATCACACAGATTATACCTTTTTATAAGTTTCAAAAGAAACTTGACATTAAAACTGCTGTGATTTGCTAAGATAGCTACACTGTACTTATGAATGTCTTACCAAGCGTGATACAGTACAGATGTACATTACATTTATGTACTATAATGCAGACTGATAGTAATATTATATTCTCCTCTTTTCCTGTAGTTAATAATAGGTTTATGATGGTTGTGTTTGTAGGGAATTGGTGTAATTGATTATAGAAAAAATAGTTGAATAAATCAATTGTAATTAGTAGCAGTGTTATTGGTTATTAGAACTTAAGTGCTTAGTCCGTAACATCCCTGTGCAGATGTGTGGGTAGAAACCATCTGCATAGACTAAGCAACATCACTCCTTATTTTGAACACATTCACTGTTTGACATATAAAAGCAGACCATAATTAAATGCTGGGGCCAAAAGCCTGAGTTATAAAGAGTGGCATACTAAAGTTTTTTATGTGCACAGTGAATATCTTAACACCATTGAATTATTTTCTCCAGTTTAATACATCATCTACCTGTACTTCCTACAACTGCCAACAGAGTTCATCAACCATAAAATGGAAAGCTAAAAAAGAGGTATGTCAGCAACTTGACTTCTTTTGGGTTTTGCAAGAAGAACTCATTCCTTTGCTGAAAGCCTTGATGTCTTAAATATTCGAATCCCTGCTTTAAGAAACAAAAAACTTATTGACGGTAGAGCGTTATTTAGCTGTGTTATTAGAGGGAACGCGTCCAATTAATTTGATGTTCATACCATTATTAGTTAAAATCCGTCAGTTGGTTTAGAACTGGGGAGTGAGGAAGACTTACACTTAATTATGGTATCTACCACAAATTAATAATCGTATCTACAACAAGCCTGTCTTTATGTTTAAAATAAATAGTTTGCATACAACGGCCACAGGATGATCAGAGATTACTACGACGGCATATGACATACGTTACGTTTGTTATGATGTTAATCCATATATATAAAACATCGTAAATCAAGATGGAGGGAAGGTAGAAGACGTGAAGTTAATGTTATAAAATTAATACTGAATACTATTTAAATTCCTTGTTTACTCTATGACACACATGAAATTAATTTTCAGTGTTACGGACACGAACACTACAAAAACTACACTTCATGTTTGACAGTATGAAAGCCTCGTTTGATAGGTGTACACGTACTTCTTGCAACTGTAAAGTTAGGTTATTTTAGACATTACGAATTTTAAATTCAGTATTTATGATTATGTAAACCGAAGATTGCACAGTAATGCACAGAACGCATGAAGCTATTATTTGGTGAGTTTTGTGATCGAAATACTAAAGAATGTGGATATGATAAGACAAAGTAATGAATTATGAGATGGGGTTTTCACTGCGATAGTCTTCTGGGTTATAACGCCATGTAGGTAAATACCATGTTTCGAAGGAATATATTGGTTGAAAATCAAAACGACGTTACAACCCAAAAGACAACATCAAGAAACTAATCGGTTCTTCATTGCATGAAGCTGTTAATATGAATAACACAAAAATTTGGAATGTTCATCTGTGAAGCTGCTTTGTGGGAATTGCAATATATATGTCAGTTGCAAATTTGCCATGGAAGTTGCAGTTTTTAAAGTGTATAAATATTGTAATGTCCGTTTTACATTGACAGGTTTTGTTTTGTAATTGCTCATTTTCTGGGTAAAGAGAGGTATGACAATTCATAATGATGTAGAGAAGTGTTTTCCAACTGGGAGTTCTATGGAACACTAGCATTTTACAGATTCTAGTAACTGTCTTGTACAAGATAGCTCATGGTCGCCATAGACGTGGTATCACTTCATCTCTTATGTAGCCTCTTAGTTGTATTTTTCTCATTATCAGTGTTGTACTTGCCATGTGTTATTGTTAAAATAAATGGGAAACTGAACATGCATGAAACAGTTTTATTATAAAAATGTGGAATGAAATGAAGAATGTTAGCAAAGTCATATAACACTGGCTATTACAGTACAGTTTCATGCATTTAGACGAGTAGCTGTCCATAAGCTTTGAGAGATGAGTTTGAAGACACAGAATCACTGATAAATGCATCAGGACTGGAAAGTCAATTACAGCAGAATAGAACCAGTTAACCATAGCTCAGGCTGCTGTTCAAAGCTTACAGAGAATGACCAAAAAGTAGCAGTAGAACTGGTCTTAAGTGAAACATAAGTGCAACACATTAATTTGAATTCAAATTTTACATTTCAGCATTGGTTCATGGATTCCTGGAAGGTGATATGGACAGAAGGCTGCAATTCTGTTAACAATTCCTAAATGTGTTAGTAATCTCATGAGATTGTCATAGGAATAATGATACAAGTCTCAGATTTTCTGTTTTGTTTTTTAGCCTGCTGGTTCTGGGCACAGTAACAGTTGTGTATATAATTACTCAAATACTCCGCTCAGTAGTTGACTTGAAAGGTGATACAGCCATACTCACAAGCTTTGAAGGCAGCTGGTTATTTCGACTCTGCCTGAACATACTTGGATATGCCACCATCTTTGTGCCAGGGTTTCTGATCTTTAAATATGTTAAGAAAAGCAACTATTTAGAAAGAACAGGTAAATGCAAGGGTTAATATAAATTTTTTTGTTGTTGCTCAGGTTGGAAATGTCTAATGATTTTTATAATTCTGTACAGTGAAAGCTGTTGTTTCTAGTGAGATTTGAGGTTCTCAGAGTGGTAAAGATTCTAGGTTATGAAGCCATGTAAGTGGGTTCTAACATTTCATAGGAACATAATTTTCTCCATCTTCAGGGCATCACAACCCATGAGACCACCAGTGACTTGTCATTTGTACCTATCTTATGTAAAGAGACATGCTTGGATGGTGTTCTAGGCTTAATTGATCCCTGCCTTAGTATTTAAGGAATCTGTAAAACTATATAGGAATTATTGCCTTGTATTAATGGAGATTTCTGATCTCCTCCTGACAAATAATAAATTCACACATGGTTTAAATCTGCAGGCCCAGGATGTTTTCCTACTGCTATAAGGCTTTGCCTTGCTGGACCAGATCCTTTGATCAGTGCAGATGGCCTTCAACAGGCAACCTCTCAGTTCTCTCATGCCATACAGAAACCCCACAGTACAATGCAAGAAGCCATTCTTTTGGTTTTTTGTTTCCTTGGGCTTCAGCTAACTTACCTCACATGGGGTTTGTTACAGGAGAAGATCATGACACAGGTAATGTCATTATACAGAGTTTCCACTTTCCTTTTTAAAATTCTTGGCAGCTTTCTGTCCCAACAGAATAACTTCTTAAACAGTTGGAAGCTTTCATTTTAACTCAAGAATTTAATTTTTTAATATTTGTGCATGATTATAATTTGAGTCTTATTCCAAAATTTTTGCTGCCAAATTTTGGTTGATGATTACCAGACATTACACCTTACAGTTTTTGTATATTCATTGAAACCAGTGATGATAATAATCTGCCATTAAAAGCTGTTCTCTAAACTACAATTACAAACTTTACTTTGCTGCACTTAACTGCAACTTCTTATGGAAACAGTTCTTTGCTGTTTGGAGTGGTGTCTTTCATATCTGCATGGATGCCAGTTCTTTTATGGTGAAATAAGGCAATGTTTTAATGCATTTTGGGCAAACATTTTAAATGTTAATTTCAAACCAAATTAGTCAATGGATTATTGTAGTTGCTTGAAGTTTCATGTAAAATTTCTTAATAATAGTAATTCTGTGGTATTTCAGATTCTTATGGTGGTGAGTATGAAGATGGCTGTGTTTTGGGTTGTTGCACCATGTAGTCTAGTAGAAGTTTACCAAAGTTTTAGAGGTATTTGCTGCCTCCATCATCAGAGTGAAACATCAGTCACTTTCTTCAATACTACATGGTGCAATATTTGTTTTTTATGGAACTGTGTTCTCATTTTGGAGCTATTTTGTTCAGCTTCCTATAATATTCTGCATGTAATTCTTGACATATTCCTTATTTTGTATTTAATATTCTCTTGTAATTTTTTCCAACAGGAATACGTTGATTCTGGTGGAACAAAAGGGCACTTTACAGATTCACAGTTCCTTGTCTTTGTAAATAGGATCTTGGCCTTTGTACTGTCAGGGCTGTACATTATGTTTACAAGGCAGCCACAGCATGTAGCACCACTCTACAAATATGTCTACTGTTCGTTCTCCAACATCATGAGTTCGTGGTGTCAATATGAAGCCCTCAAATATGTCAGCTTCCCAACCCAGGTTAGAGGTACAATTGATCTTTTAAATTTGTACCATTTATATCCAAGGGAAAGTCAGAAGTAAAGGGAATTTATAGTTTACCTTAAAAGAGATGTTGACATCACTGAAAGTGGTTATTGATATGAACAGCATTCATGTATATGAATGTAATCTAAAGCAACGATAATTTATATTTCAGGTATTAGCCAAAGCTTCCAAAATTATTCCAGTTATGATAATGGGGAAGATCATTTCAAGAAAGAAGTATGAATATTATGAGTATGTGACTGCATTGCTCATATCAGTGGGAATGGCATTCTTCATGCTGGGTAGTGCAGATGACCATAAAGGTAATGTTACTTTTTACCTTAATGCATACAATATACTAAAGCAGCAAGAAAACATTGTCCATCCATGCAGCAAGCAAATTGGTATTGAGGGAATATAACTTCCTTGCTGCTGCTGCTATTAATTTAAGCAAGAGTAATGAGCTACCTGTCCTGCGCCCTAGCCACGCGGTCTGAGGCGTCATGCGCGCTGGTTCAAGTCTAGGGGAAAGAAATTTCTCATGAGATTTTCGACCGGTGCCAACCCAGCATAGTGAGGAAATTGGGGAGCTACAATGGGTAGCATAATCCGGTCATGAAAACTAGCAATGGAAGGGGGTTCGTCGTGCTGACCACACGTCACCCTATATCTGGTTGGTTGATCGTTCACCTCTGCTTAGGCATGTGAATATGAGGCCAGCAGCCAGCTAGTCGGCTTTGGCTCTCAGAGGGCTGTTACGCCACGGAATGAGCTACCTGCTTATAAATGTCACATTTTTACCAGTTAAACTTGAATGGGGATGTGTAAAGTATGCTCACAAAAGGTACAGTTTAAAATGCTACACAACAAAAAAATTAAATCAAAAGCTTGACCACCCCCATGTAATAGGCTGTCCCAACCTCCATTATGACACTCAAGCCAAGGTCACCCTGGTTGCCAGGCTAATTGCACAGAAGCTATGCGGGTGATGATGATAGATGATTAATATTTTTTTTTTTTTGTAGGGGTTGCCGTGACAACATTCTCGGGACTGATTCTTCTGGCTTCCTACATGTTATTTGACAGCTTCACTTCCAACTGGCAAGGGGAGTTGTTCTCGCACTATGGCATGAGTTCAGTGCAGATGATGTGTGGTGTGAATATGTTCTCATGCCTTTTCACCACTGTCTCTCTTGCGCAGCAAGGGGGGTTCCTTCATTCCATCAACTTTATGGCCCAGGTATTTTCATTTAAATAATTAATAACTGTTAGTTTCTTAAGTTACTAAACATGCCTGTGTAACTAACCACTAAGATTGTCTAGTGAGAGGGTTATTATGAATTGTGAGCCACTAGAAAGTTTAGGGTGTCACGTAATGAGGATATTTTTGGCACCATCTTTGCACATACTTTCTTCATGTTCAAGTTCTTTCCCAATAAGTTCAGCTTGAATTAATGATGGACTTTTCTTCTTCACATTTTTGGTCAATTTACTGCATTCAGATCAATTCTTAAAGTTGTTGGACAGCCATATCATCTATTATAGTTATGGTGCTGTGTAGTCTTTATAGGTGGTTACCAGCATTTTGGAGGAACCTGTTGCCTCCAGCATCATGACTTAAATTGAAAGTGAAAGGTTCCATATGATTTGTACTGTATGTTTTACTCACAGCTTTTATTTTCAAAATGGCAGTAACAACCTAAAAGATGACACTGGATTGTAACCCAGGAGGATAATATAAAATGGATCTTAAGGAAATAGTATATGGACTACATTCATCTGGCTAAAGATGTGGTTCATTGGTGGATTGTTGTGAACCTTTGGGTTCTGTTAAAGGTAGAACATTTCTTGAATAACTTGCAACTGGCAGCTTCTCAAGGAGGACTCTGCTCCATGTTTAGTTAATGGGAGAACAGTGCTACCACTGCAGCTTGATGTTACACACTGTTGTGTATTGTTGTACAAAGTGCATTAAATAAGATTTACTGAAACTATATGCAGCTATTAATGCAATAAATTTTTACAGTTACAAAGGTTTAAATCAGTATTGCATTTGCAAGAGCCTTCACTATGCATAATTGTTAATACTCTTTCCTTGTGCGTACAATAAGATTTTTGTTGTTGTAATTAAATGTTTCAGTTTCCAAAGTTTGTGTTTGACTGTCTCATACTGTCAGTATGCTCAGCTGCAGGTCAACTCTTTATATACTATACGATTGCAACATTTGGACCTGTTGTATTTGTGATCATCATGACCATAAGACAGGTAAAGAATTTAATGTTTTATTATATTAATGGCTGTGAAATAAGGATAAAGGTAAAGTTTTCCATGTACTTATGCTTACCGACATGAACAAAAGCACATGGCTCAGAGGGAGATACATTTTCAGACAGTGTCGTGGATCGGCATGCAGACATTTGCTTCACACCTAAATTATTTAATATTTTCATTTATTTCTTCAGAATTAGCTTTGTGATGTATGATGTTAATAATTAATATTCTTAATTTATGGCAGATTGTGATATATAGAAGTGCAAAATGTAAATAAAGAAGAGTAATTTCAAGAGATGGCTCTAGTAATATTAGAAGGATTCTTTCAGTATGTACTCAATGAGGGTGGTAACTACAAAACAAACAATGAAATTATATTCTGCAGTCTTATATAAATATGTTAAAAATGCTTTCAAACACATTTATAAGCTTTATAAACTCTTGAATAAGATGAAGTTTTTGTGAAAACATGAAGATGATAAACATGGAAATATTATTATTATTATTATTATAAATACAGGATTGAATTGAAATCTCATAATTATTCCCTCCATAGGGTCTTGCAATTTTGCTATCCTGCCTCATCTATCAACATCATATCACAGCTGTGGGCATTGTTGGTGTGATTGTCGTGTTTGTGTCAGTGTTTCTACGAATTTATTGCAACCAACGACTACGAGCTATAAGGAAACGGGCCCAAGCAGCGAGCAGTAGCAAGGTGTGATAGCAGCAAGAATAATCTTCAATGTCAACAGTAAGTTTTTGTTTCTGCAAATATTGTATCTGAATCAGATGACATGGATTCAGGCCAGGTTTTCATTAATGGTATTTGGTCATTAGAAGGTTGGAATTCCAGACATGACATTATTATTTTATGTTGTTACAGATGAGCAAAATGGTGTAAGAAGTATCCTTTGTAAGTGTAAAAATAAGCTATGATTGTAGGAACTGTAGTTCAATATTAAGATACAGCTATTAGCTTCTATCTAGCAAGCTTGTCAGAAGATTTTAAAAATTATTCATTGCAATGAGAGATGAATACCTCCCAAAGGAATCACATGTAAGAATTACTACCAACGAGAGAAATTTTTGTTAGATTTACACACACACTTTTTATGCGATCAGGAAAATTCGTAAGAAATTATGTTCTTTGCAACTTCATATAAACTTACTCTGTAACATGTAGGTCTTCTTGAAATGCTGATAGTCATTCAACTGCTCAAGAAATTCAATGACTTATGAAAATTGAAGATTCATTAGCATGTTCAGAATTTATCACTGGGCCATATCCTATTCCAGATAAATCCAAGCCCTATATATGTAAGATCCATTGCAACATTATCCTTCCATATGTGCCTAGGTTTTATAAGTGGTATCTTCTCTTTTGGTTTCCCATTTAAACCTTGTATGCATTTCTCATCTCCTCTGTGAATGCTACATATCCTGTTCATCTCATGCTCCTTGAGTTGATCACTCTGATATTTAAAGGGATGACAGAATAAATAAATATGTTAAGGATGTAATTTGTTAAATTTAAATATGGTATCACACTAGTTGGCTCAGGTATGTATGTGCACTCAGTGATAGGATTTGAGAATATTTGGTTCTAGATATTACTGACATTAGGAAAGCACATCCTAGAGAATGGCTGTTCAGGTATAGAAGCTGTACAACAGACCAAGAACTCATAAAATGTTAATTGGGTAAAAGGAAAAAAAAAACAGTTTATGTAAATATATTTCTAATCATATCTGTTTGGGGGTTTTAATGCCGATAATGGTATTGTGATATCACATTATTGCTAATGTGTATGTTCGATTTTTCTTCCAGTGCATTGTTTTTGCATGACTATATATTTTATATTTCCCCGTGGAATATATTAAATACAATTTTTCTTTTAAAACAAAATTATTGTTATTATTATGTAAATAACTTTGTTATTGTCTATTAAAAAGATCCAGAAAGGTACAGCAAGAAACAAAGTTGTCAGCATACTTAACTAGTATGCTGAGAACGGTGCCAGGTTTGATCCTGGTAACTAACAGGAAATGAAAATTAAATTAAAAATAATCATTTTAGTTACAACTGTAAAAATATTTTATGTGGCAAACTTCTATCTCTTTGTCTTGAATGTGTCTGTGGCAAAATGTATGATACAGATTGAATCGTGACTCAAAACAATCATGGAAATAATAGTAATCTGTAGATGCAATACTTAACATTAGTCATATGAAATACTGTTATGTGAATGTTGCTGTTGCATAAGTATACAAGTACTTAAATGTTTATCTGGAATATCTTAGAATTATTGTGATGAAATGATGTATATTAATGCAAGCCTGATTATGAAATGTAGAATGGGATGGAGGAAGTGCTCTTTTAACAAAGTGCTGCAGTTATTATGAGGCCTTTTTTGTACTGCCAGCCAGACTTTTAACTCCTGGGTTAACAGTTTAATGGTATGTTAATGCAGCACATGACCAGCTGAATCATATGTAAGCCATGATGCACATATGTTAACTGTAAATGCAATCACAGTTGTGTGTATGATATTAAAATTTTGGTCAGCGATGTTTATCCTAAGACTAAAGGTAAATTTTTAGACAGAAAATTGTTTCACCATCTCAGCTACTGAATGATGGAAAAAAGGCACAGTGAATGTTAGCTGTGTTCCAGGATATGTTTCAGTATGCTTTTATCCAGTCCTAAAATCACATCTTTACATGCAGACATAAAAAGAAGACTTATATAATACTATACAGTAGGCACTCCATTCACATAATGGTTTCCTGAGAAAGGCCATGTATGTAGAAGGTAAGATGGAAAAGGCTTAAGACATTGGGTCTGTGTGAATGGACCTCATTTTACATATATATATATATAGGCGTCAACCTCTGTATGAAATTCCCATGTTTGGGACTTCTGACTTTTTTGTACAGGTTTTACCACACTTAATTTTCTATAATTTTAGTTACTTTTATTTTATAATTTTTGTTTGTGACCAGAGTGTATTTATATATCACAGTATTTGAATCAAAGCCATGTAACTTAAAATAGAAACTCCTAGGTGCTACTGTTCATTCATTCATCTTCAACATAAGATACTTGTATAGATGACTAAGGAAAATATAATGTAGATACATCTCTGATATAAATCTTCATTTAAAACAGTTCCATGTCTGTTGCACAACATAAGAAGTTTTGTTTCTGAGGGAAAATATTTTGTAGAAATGTAGATATTAACTAATTTTATATCATATCTAGGTTACTAAGAAGTATTACAAACCCAAATGAAATTGGCAACATTACAATTTTGCAAGGAAGGTGTAGTAGTCATACAGAGTACAATTAACAGCACAGTTATTTAAATTAAAGTGATTCCAAATATAACTTCCTGTTTAAGTAATACATATGTGAGTTACTGCAGGAAATTTCACATCATCTGAGCATGTATGTGGGTGTGGATGTTGAAAACATGATGTCATTTGAACTTTCAAGATGTCTGCCAGCTCAGTGTGCATACCCCACACATTATAGTGTCAACAGTGAACCATAAAGGGTTAAGTTATTTTAACTGACAAGCCAAAACTGAAACTATAGGACTCTTGTGTTTCAAGAAGACAGATAGGTGGTGCATTGCATCCAGATGTTTATGCAGTATATCCCATTAACTTTTTTCCCCATAAGTTTTCATGGATGGAGTTTAATGTGTAACTTTGATTTTCAGGTATAAACCATGTAGAATGTTGAAGGTTTTCATCACCTATTTTTCTGAAGCATGTGGTTGCTCCCTCTTGAACAGCACCTTACTCGTCTGTTCATCCCAAGCCTTCACCTTCCACTGCCTGATCTATATAAGGACTTCCAAATCACCTCAAAGACATTCACCCTAAAGATGGAAACTGCAATTTTTGCTGAAATGTTGGAAAACACAGAACACACCACGCAGCTTAATCCTGAACTTCAAAGGTACACATTTGTCACTACTTCAGCAGTATAATCCTTTGAAGTACTTGAATGGTATATGAGATTTACATGGTAGTGAAGATGTTGGTCTTCTGGGTGGTAACACTGTTGTTTCTCTAAAACAGCGATATGTATCTACAAGTCCACATGGCATCACTACTCAGAAGACCAACATCAACAAATCAATGGGCAGTTACTTGTTAACAGTGCTATACATAATGAGATTATGGTTGTATGAAGGTAGTTGCAAAATTCTGAATTCCACTTGTCACAAACAACCGTCAGTTTGTTTTTGTGGCATTAAAAGAATGTGACTGTATAATACACTTCATCGCTTTACTGATTTACATAGTCCTTTTTCTTATGTAAAAAAGATACAATATATGACAAGTGTGCTTATGAGGTGACGGCATTTGATTGCCACGTATTCAGCATGTGTTATGTTCAATCCATAACCACTGAACAAAGTATGGTCTTAAAAGAAAAGCAATCAGTCCTTATTTACAAATATTCTGTGTGGATAAGACTATCATTTTATTTACTGCTATGAATTCATTCTTTATTATATTTCAAAGATTGGTAAAATTGTATCAGAATCACTCAGATGTATGGCCCTTTCCAGAGCACATTGTTTGGTTTCATTCAGTCATATGAAGTAGATTACTAGCTTGTTGGTTTTTAAAATACAATATATACATAGTCTTTCTATAATATTAAGATCTTGTCAACACATGCAATCTTTGTTCAGAAAGCATTTTGTAATGATTAAGCCTGCCTTACTGTAGGAACATTAACAGGAACACTTAAATACTGAAGTTAAAAATCTTTATCTCTCTTACTGTATTGGCATGTAATTCAAATACTCTTAAGTATGAAAATGAAAGAAATGGTAATAACTGTGTGTGTCTAATTATCCATGCATAATCCTACTTTTCATATTATCAACTGAAATTTTTACATATTAATCAGATTCCAGCTTTGAATCTCAAGCCCAAAGATCAGGCTTCAAAATGCAATGAAAATTTATTTAATCATCCAGGTCTTGCTGTTTCATATGTTTGTTGGCCATATTAAATGCTGTAGAGTAATAACAGTACAGATCCAAATCTTGGATGTCAATAAAATAACAAATAAGAAGGCAGAAATGTGTTTCCTCATTATCACCTCATGATACAGAATGGCGTCATAAAAGCAATGAATGAGAAAAAAGAAAATCTGTGAAAAAGAGATATCAGTACAAATAAATGGTTATCAAAAGAAATGGGAAGAACATTATTTAGAAAGAATGCCTGCAAACCAAATACCAAGGCTGTTTTATAAACAGAATGGTTCTGATGACAGAAGAGCTGGAATAATTTTAATATTGGCCATCAAAGCATGAAAGAGAACTTCATCTATGATACAATGGTGATATTAGTTCCTTTTGCATCAGTGCAGTCTGAAATTTCGTTTCTGATTGAATGTTATCCATGTGTGATACAAGCATTATCTTATTATTTGTACTATTATATAGAACATGTGTAGGAAACGGCCAGATGATTACTTATTTTGAAATGTTGGAAAGTCCAGACATATCACTTTCCCATCGCCTCTGTGAGAAACCTATATAAATGAAACTCAATTTTTCAAAATTGTTCATTTATTTACCAGACTCACTCAGTTTGAAATTACAAGAACAGCTGAGAGCTTGAGCAAAGCTGTTTAGTATAATGCTGATTACAATAATAGGCCATATTAACTCCATGGAGCAGAGTTAGTTTGGGAATCTGATAATTGCTTGCTCAGTCAAGAAATTCCCCAAGTCTTATAGAATCTGAAGGACCATTCACATTGCTATTCTGAGCCAGCTGAATCTAATCTATACTCCCATATCCTGTTTGTTTAAGGTTTATTTTAATATATCCTCCCATCTATGCCTAGGTCTTCTGAGCAGCCTCTTCTCTTCACAAAGTAATGGAGACAAATACAGGAGTGGAGCTACAGCTTCTCTCCACATTCTTAATCTCAACACTAGATGGAGGTGAGTAGTTTGCTTCATGCCCTGGCTGCTTTATCCATGCAGAAACTAATCCCAGTACCTACCGGATAGGACAACTGATGGTCCCCATAGTCAGAGAAAGATCTTGTCCCTGGAGGGAATCAGACCCCAGTCAACCAATCTGTATCCAAGTCAGTACAGGCTTATCTGATGTCAACAAGACAGCTCTCCTAGCTGTACATGGAATCAAGTGTATCAAATGTTTCTTTGCTTCACATATGTTTAGCAAAAGTGCACAGGATGTTCTATAAGGATGGAAGAGGTACATGCAAGAAAAACCAAACCATTCTAACTTCTTAACATTTCAGACGTTTGGTTAGTCATTACACCTAATTCATCACAGCAGTAACTAAAATTACAAGCACTAGAATTACCTCCATGTATTGATGCTTGATGAATAAAAGTATAGATTATATAATGTTTAGTATGTTTCATGTTTAATTGCCATGCATCACAGAGACAAAATTTATCAGCAGCTGACAGGATATGTTGAGGCAAATGCATATATACAAATTTTACGATATGAAACAAAGAATAAGTGCTCTCTATTCATTGCAAAGAGTGTCAAATTCAGAAAAACTTGCTGCCTATCTTTAATTAGGAAAGCAACACTACAGATCTTGTTAAGTTAAGTATGTTTCTTCAGGTCTGAAAACACTGCACAATAATTGAAGGAACACAAACTGAAATGTCAAATTGTCTTAAGGTTAAATCTCATAACGTACCCGATCTATAAAACGTTGCAAGACACAGTAATGCAAGAGCTAATTCAAGTCCTTGTAATGTTAACTGAATGGCACAAAGCACAACTTCCAGCCGTAACACATATGTCTGCCAAGTCAGGAAGTACATTATCCCCAAACTCGATGGTATAGTCAATCCTATAGACACAAGTACAGCGAAACCACGTTCTGTCAAGTTTCCTTTGCGTCCCATGAAAATTCGTAGATATTCAGTACAACATAAAAACACCAGCAACAACGATTCAGATATTAAAGTCCCGGAAGGATAGGGTAGGTTCGCTGCTTTGAATATCCCCATCCCAAATTCACATAACGCAAACATGCTAAAATAAAACGAATTTAAGTACAGCAATATTTCGTATGTCAAAGAAGAATTCATGTTAACTCATATATTTAAACAGCTTAGTTGTTTCGTTCTTCGACATTACAGTTTACATAAATTGTTTGCAGTCCAAAGTTGCACGATTTCGATTTGAAGGTTATGATAACACACATACGATATTTCCACAGATTATATAGTCATTCGTACTCGTCTTCTGGGCGTCTCAATTGTCGCTCAGGTACAAGCACGGCGTAATCAAATAACTGTGTTGATAATCTGCGCTGTATGCCTAAACAAAGAATCCTCTGCGTTTATAAATTTTTAAGCTTCATTATCTTTCCTACAAGAGTCCGCCACTGGAAAATAGAACTTGATATAGTACAAAATTTCCCACAAACATGAAAACATTTTACCGCGCCAGGCTTCCTATTCTGTGGGACCATGTTCGATGCCTGGCTTCATTCGTACAATGCCGAGTTGTTATATACCGGTGTTTGTACGCGGCAGCAAGCAATGTGAGTAACTGATTTAGTGGCTGTAATGCGTTTATCAATATGCATACGTGCTGTAAAGAGTATTTCGTTTTAAATTGCCGTTCAAATGATGCTCAATCAAATGTGACATGTCAAATGCAGAAGCCCGCTCCAGGTTTGGGGAAACTACACAAGTATGTTAATATCTGTTCTAAATTATAACCTGAGGCAGTTTCCGGCAGTGTGAGGCCCCCGTACATTTATATGCGACCCGTCAGTTAGTATGGTCTGAGTAGTAGTCAGTACGAGACGGGCAGTGAAGAGAGAATTTATATAAAAATATACACATAAGCGTAAGGGAAAATAATCGCAAAAAAGCAAGAATTGTGCCGATGTAGAACTGTAATATTAAAATCGCAAGAGTACAAATTTTTTGTTTTCTTTGCTCTAAAATAAGGGAAATGGACTACAAAAACTAATTAGACTTGTTCATTTCTTTGAAAGAAATGAATGGAATATGATCAAAAGTCTTTTATTTATTCTTTCAGAGATACAGGATCACATCCGGTGGTGAAAATTGTCGTTTCGTTTGTTTCTTAACGATGCCTTAGTAACTACAGATTAGAGTCTGTTGGTGCAGAATCATTCTGACGTTTAAGAACTCTCATATTCCGCACATGCCCCCTGGCTGACGGGCTGAAGGTCATCCAGGCTGAGGCCGTACTGTTCCAGAATGCTGTTCACCTCTTGTTTGGTTTCGTCGTCAAATGACGTAGTGCGACTTGCAACCCACGTCAGCGCTATAGCACATAACAGACGTGAGAATTCGTTAGTTCTGATATTTTGAACGATTCTGAATTTGATTTCGATTATCACTGCGCTAGAAAATAAAGAATTATGTAAATGTGTTGATATGATGAAATATGAAAGTATAACGAATTTCCGATACGTCGTGTATATAATGTTTGGCATAATTACTTGATCAGTTGAATGTTAACTACTGAGGAAACACTTCTCGTTCAGCCCAAAAAAATTACTGCCGCAAATTCATTCGTCATTGAACGAATTCTTACAGCTTTGCAGTACTTACGGTGCGTACTGTCGTTGGCCAGACAACCTCTCAGGATAGAATAGGTCTTGTAGTCCGTTCCCACTACCCAGTATTGGCTTGTCCAAAGCTCTGTACAGACAAAATAATAGGCCTGCTTATATCTCTTCCCGACTTACGTGAAGTGGATATCCTAAGGGCACAGTATTCACGATAGCACTTAAGCCATAAAATAATGAAAGTATATATAAATATTTGTTATAGTTGGTTGTGTGTTATTGCTAGCATTATAAAGCGAGGGTGGCAGCGGAGAGTCTGGCAATGTCGTAACCTCGTTGAGCCGACAAATCGTCATTCGCTCTCATTCTTGTCTTTAATTATGCTGATGGCAAACGACTTTGTGATATCTTACTATTAATGTGTTTTTAAAACAATACGTAACTGTCCATAGAATAAGTAAACTGTTCGTGCGAATTTCGTTGGAAATTAAATTTCAGTCCTGTACTATTCTTGCTCACAAAGTTATAATTTCTGGAATAGGCGTAGGTACACCTGTACCACATGTATAAAAGCCAATATCCATATCTCTAAGAAATGCTACAGCGTACTGAGGTTGTTCGGGGCCCATCAGATAACTTTTTCATGCAGCCATTGAAGTCTAAGCGACCAGACGAGCCACTCTAATCCAATAAATCACTCAACCAGTCTTATATAATAAAACAAAAATAAATTACCGTCTTTAGAATAACTGATGTAGAAGGTGGTGTCCGTCCAAAGAGGCACTGTACCAACTGACGTTTCGAAACTGCGTGTTCTGTTGGAACAAGGATATCGTTATTGGCATTTGGATAGGTGGGATGTGTTTCATAATTAATCCATGTGTGTATTTTCGTAAGGCTGACTCAGCCTACAGCCTTCATGAAATGATAGTATATTTAGATAAAGCAAGGAGTGGTACCCAAACTGTTCGACCAATCCCTCACCTGATGTTATAGGCCACGCTTCGAACGCCGATCCCATTTTCCTCCACAAAGTAGTCATCATACTCACAGTTGGCATAATCCTCCTCGCCAGCGTTCTGGGTGCGGTATAGTTCGTACCATGTTCCCACGTACTGTAATAACAGGGTGTGTCAAATGCCAATTCAGTATGTTTGCTTATAAATAAATAACCATCGATTATTTGCTCCCGTAACCTGGTGATATAACAGCCATAATATTTTTTAAAATTCTTACTATGAAACTTATTATATTGTCATCTGTTCTGTGTTATAAAAAGTTTACTTGGAATTGTTTGTTGAGAAAGCCCTAAGTATCTATGATATCATTAATATAGAGCAATTCCCATATTAACATTGCATGATTTCTAACGTTTTCTTAAAATTAACTAAAACTGACATTCTTACTTCATTCAAATCAAAACCGGTGAATGTGACGTCCCCAACTTGGCATTGCTCTTCGCTGGCAGCTAGGACTGAGCTCACGAGCAGACAAGGTATCAGAACCCTTAGCATTCTTATTGTCAAACCTGCAAGACTTTGAAATATAAGATAATGAAAATACAGTACAATTTAATGTTCCTAATATAAACAATTAATTAAGGAATTAATCGTCGAACTAATTTATTTAAGTACAAGAAAGGAACTGTAATAATATGTGCGAAAGAATGTGTTTTACAAGGGCTACATTATCACGCACCATCCCACACTTATGTTAGTTAAAGTCGCTGTATCGACTGTAGTGTCCATTTAGAGTCGAGTGTTGTATAATGAACCAGAAACGATTGTGGCCAATGTCATCATTCCTTTGGAAGAACTTACGAAATCTGTAGAAGTCTCAGCAAATGTATCTGGCACATTAACCTAGGTGTGAACCTAGCCTAACCTCACCTCCCAAAAAACACGTCGTGGACGTAACTGCTTCACTTAATTCCTCTAGCAACCCAGACGAACTGTGCATTGATTAACATTGTTGTCTGAAATTCGCACAGAAATATGCATGTTCAGTTATGCATTATTTTGGAATATAAAACGTTTGTTGAATAATTGGTCTGAAGTAGCGGATATTCAACAATCGATTCAAAAGCTTGGTGCCAAACGAAGTTTATTTTCATGGGAAATAAGAGGAGACTAGAATGAAGTTGTTATAGCGCCGTGCTGGAGCGGAAACTTCTCCTGCAGCTGTGTATGGTGTGTAGTCTAAACACAAGGACGCAGGCGTTCTTAAAAATCTTATTCGTCAGCAGTTTCGAAGTATGTAGCATTTCACAAAACCATCCCTGATAAAATCAGAATGGGTGAACCCTTTCTAAAGTTTATTCCTCATTTTTTATTTAATATCCTTCCCCTTATCTTCTTACAGACACCCACAGTTTAGGCGTATCACAGTATCACAAATACGTTATCGAAAGTAAAGGACGAGAATTTGACGGAACTTCATTTTGAATATAACTCCATTAAGGAGACTATACTTGAGAAGCTTACAGTTGCTCATTTTATCAAATTCCTCGCCTTTTGTGGAACCCGAAGGTTCAGTACCTTATTCGCAAGAACTCGCCACTGGACTCTATCCTGAGCCAGACGAATCCAATCCATATTCTCACACCATATTTCTTGAATACCTATTTTAATATTATCCTGCCACCTATGCATAGATCTCTCAAGTTATGTCTTGTTTTTAGGTTTTCCTACAGATACGTAGATTTATCATAAAATATATTTAAACTAACTAATTTTTAAACCGAAATTTTGAAAATAATGTTCTTAATAGATGACATGCAAGAAAGGTCGAAAATAATTAAACGCACACCAATACTGAAGAACATAATTGTTGTAGGGAATGTACAGTGACTAAAAGAAGGTACTTTTGAGGAATGGGACTGGAGTGATTAGCAGTTGTGGGGGCGTAAGAAAGAAACGAAAATGAAACTTGTATTATTAATGCGTGAAGCTTCAGCTGCTGAATGCCGTACTTTAGTGAAAATTTGCTTGCAACTACATGAAAAAAGTTCTGGAAAATGAGTCATACAAACCTCTTAATCGTAACGCTGATATAACCGGAGACGGTACTGTGGCAGTGGCTTGACTTACTCCATTTTATACTGTAGCATTGCGTAATTTTGTTACAGTTTGCCTCATCTAATTAAAAACTTAAGGCTGTTCCGTATCGATTTTGGTTAGTAGTTGCAATCTTGAGGCCGTGTGTTGTAAAGTGCTCGCTGGTGTAGATAGTTCAAATACTGGTGTCTTGGCTTCGAATTTTCTTTATTGACCACGTCGCGTTTCTAGGGATCGCTAGCGTTTGTCTTGATAACGATTGTGAGATACATTGAGCTCTAAAACAGAAGAAGGTAGATCACGACCGGGTTTTAGCTTCAAAAAAGAGAATATGTTCCACACTCGAAACAGATACGAGTTGTATAGAAGAGGCAAGATGTATATTTTATACATCTGTATTAATACTAAGTTGCACTAAAGCTGTATGATTAAGGATATGGGAAAATACTTGTATAACATGTGGGGACATGCCTTAACAAAACCCATTTATGAATGAATAAGTCTAAATATGCCATTTGTTTCTTAGAACAAATATAGACACAGTTGTTCATTTCAAGTTGTTGCTGTGAGAGACGTGTTTTGTAAGACGAATGTGTTTCGGAATGGTTAGTTATGAATCAGCTTCTTCATTAACTATATGTTTACTTGTATTTTGTTCAGTATTCATCACACTGTAAACATGGTCTGGCGTTTTCAGTACTGTTTCGGTATGAACAAGATGGACTCAGTGAGCTGTAACCGGGTGACAATCTGCATGTATTGTAGGAAGTGGGTTAGTAATTTGTAAAGGGTTCTGACAGCAGTATATTTTAATTAGTGTTATTGGGTTTCTGGATTTTGTCCGTCTAGTATACTCAACAAAACGAATTTTTGAAATTGGTTTTGTGGTAAGTACTTAGTGAAATGGTGTCTTCTATCCGAAAATTTGGCATATACAAAATTGTAAATCTCAGTGGAGGTGGGTGGGTTTGACCCAGCATCCTTAAAAATTTTAATGAAACATATTTATCTCCAAAGTAAATTGTATTGAGCATATGATGGCACCAAATTTTATTAAAACCAGTCATTTGGTTTCAAAGCTACTGTATTGGTGAAAGGCAGACACACATGCATATTTTTTTTTCACAAACAGTTATGATAATTCTATAATAATCCCCTCTTTCAAATTGCCATTTGGATTAATTAGTCTTTACCTGGAAAACTTAAAATTTATTATCTATACTCAGCAAAATGTTAGAGTCAATGAAATAAAAATTTTCATTCTGAAGTATTTTGAGCTGGTATGTTACCCTGGGTTTCTGGACTTGTCCATAATTTGTTATTCTGAACACCTGAGAAAAGAAACATATCTAGTTATGGAAATATTGTGTTGTGTTTAGGATACTAGTTAAATTAAAATTCCAAAACCAAATAATATTAATTAAAAAATATAATAGTCATTTAATACATTCCACATGTCACGGAATCAGGATATGTTGTCTTGAGTCACATAATAGTGCAATAGAAAGTTAATTTAGTCAATAAAAGTCAAATAAGACTATTTTAATATCTCTTTGAAAGCCATTAAAGTGCCGTAATACCTATAATTGATAAGATTATTTTTAGTTTGATTTTGTATCCCACTTGCATGTAATGAAGCAATGAAACTATCTTGTACCAGAAAAATAAATACTAAATCCTAATGGAGTAATTAAATATTTACTTCTCCAATTGTAATTGTGATTTGGCCCTATAATAATCATTATAATGTGTTAATAAATTCCTTATGTGGACTATAAAATGAAATATGAAAATACCTTTTTAATATCTTAGCATCCATAAATTAAATATTGCTTAGTGTTCAATGATGATTTGAAATATCACAACTATAAATATAGCTGAAATGTTTGTGTGCTGTATTTTTCAAAAAGAAAGTTATCCTTTGACTAATTGTACCCTTGTGACTGTTATACAACTTTTTAATATCAGAACATTTACTGTAGCTGGTATGATGCACCAATGAAACAGGACTCTCCAACATATATTAAAGTTTATAATATTTATTGAATATGTATTGTACAGGCTATAATATAAATACATAGTAAGGTTTAACATAAAATGAATACATTAATATTTTCTGAACAGTTGATTATAGTTTAATGTAGAATGATCAATCTGATTTCATACATCCCATCTTAAATTTGAAATTAGATAAAGGTGAAAGTTGTCAGATTCACGCTACAAACTATTGTCATCCAGTCCACAATGACGTCGCCTTATTGACCCGGCTGTTACACCTCATGTGGATGGAAGACGGAAGTAAGAAAGAGGACGTATTGTGAATTCATGTTACAGGAAGGTCAAGCTATACAGTATTACTGGTTTCAGGATATATATTACATTATTCACAACTTTAATTCCATGTGGTAATTTTTTAATTTCGCCATTGGAATTAAATAAATATATATCCAACGTTAATGTTTTATTTAACGTATACTCTTTTGTAAGAAATAAGACGTATTTAGAAATATAAGAGGCCAGTGAGATCTGCACAACTACCAATAGTCGAGCTTTGATCCAGTAACATAAGCAGCCATGAAGCTGCTATTGCTTGAGATAAGAACGAGGTTGAAGTTCTGGTGTTTGTGGAGCCTGAGAAGAAGAGAATGTAATGTTCTCTGTGATTTTCATAGTTTTGTGCAGGTCCCTTGTATTTGGTTTAGGTTTGGTTGTTGTAATTTGGGAGATCCTGTGTTCCCCACTGTTTCTCACTGATTTTGGAAGGGTATTTAGCTGGATTTTATTTGATATTTGAGAGTCCGGGTGGTGGGCACCTATAGGCAGGTTTCCTTTGGGAAAAGATGCCTCAAGTTGTTTGATAAGGTTCTGAATACAACTTCCATTACCCACAGAATATTTCTGTTTTAAAACTGGTGGTTTCATTTCCTTGGGGGGTTCTTCAGGAACTCCAATCTCATCATAAATTTCTTCTTCTTCATTATCATCATATTGCACTTCAGGTTTCATAGATTGTTGAGACTGTACTTTTGTATGTTTTACACTTATGCTTGGCTGTGCCTTTGTATGCATTTCTTTTTCACTTAACACATTCATATCTGACTGTACCTCTATATGTTTCCCTCCTACATGCATATCTGCCATGTTGGAGTATCCATTGCGTTGATTTAGATCACCGGCATCATCATATACTGATTCCTGATCTGACAAATCATCCCGAGGAACAGTGCGTACAGGTTGTCGAGGAGGTAATGGAGGACATTTTTCTGCAGATTTTACCTCAGCATCAGGCTTTAATTCCAATCTTGAATTTCTTTGGTAAATATCTGGTATGTAATTATAAAAGTCATCTTCATAAGGTTGTGCCAATTCATAAATGAGTTCACTCCCTTTATTACATTCAATTACTGAGCTAACATCATCATAAGTTTCGATGTCACTTTCAACATGTGCAGGAACATCCTTTGCACTTCTTAGAACAGATTTGTCCAGAGTATGATGTGGAAGTGGAGGAACTGTATGAAGTTGGGGAATTGAAGTCTGGATATGCTGAATGCTCACCTGACAAATAGCAGTCACCCATTGGTGCATATCTTTTGCAGTCCGTGCAGAAAACTGAAAGAAGATCAATCTTGCTATAAGATTATGCCATTATGTCTATACACATGAAAGAATAATGAGTTTTCTGCACAGATTCATGTTGTTAAGGTCCACAGACACATTAAAATTGTTAAAACAAGAAGAAATACAGAGGTAAGCAAAATGTTAAAGCAGGTTTAGTTTACCTCAAAAGTGATGTTGGCAGCAGTGAAAAAAGTGAAATATTATCATGCCTAAGGTTGGTTCTCAGTGTCCTTTCAATACAGATAATACTGGGATATTGGGAACGACCCATTCTTCAAGTGCCTGAGCACTGCAGGTCCCAACTTTTCGTTGGCTTGATCTATAAACATTCAGTAGGACTCCTTGGACGAGGGATCGGCCCATCGCAAGGCCTCTACCTGTACACAGGACAGCAAAACAGCAAAAAACGCGGACAGACATCCATGGCTTGAGTGGTATTCAAACCCACGGTCCCAGCGACCAAGCGGCAGAAGGCCCACGCCTCAGACCGCGCGGCCACTGCGGACCCCATACAGATAATACTGTAACATATTTAACATGATTTCTCCATTGAGTTAATGTACTAATCAACAACAGTCTGTGATCTGACTTTCATGATAGCTCAATCTGTCAGTAACCATGTGAGTCAAGAAAAGAAAAACAAGTAAGCAGCCACTGACTGCAACATACTGATGTTAAGGAGAAAGTAAATCAGAGCATTAGGAACATTGAGTGAGCACTGAAAAAATTAATGCAAATAAACAATGCAGGAATGGCTTAAGGTCCAACTTATACAGTTTCATTCTTTGGATCAGGAAACTTATATAATAGTTTGAATTGTACTTTATAATATGTATTGTATTATTATTATGACTTTTTCCACATCCTATTGTCATCTGACTGCCTTATGGATCCATGGAATGTAAATAAATTATTATTATTATAAACTTATGGACCTTTGGACCTAATCTGTTGAAAAAGTAGGGCAATCATGTAAACAAATGAGATACATCTAATTAGTGTGTGATTGTTTTGTTATTAATCATAATACAGTTTCCATTAATTATTTTACTTACCTTCATATTTATTTAATTTTCTTTATTTCTTTATTACTTAATATAATAGAAGACAGTGATAGGTACATATAATCTGTGTAAATTCTTGTAAGTCCCTAATACTATTTCCTTTTTTCATAATTTTCTTTAGATTATTTGTTTCAGTATAGATAATGGGGAATATTAAATTTGAACTGCAATGTGGAATAATACTTTCTGATGTGGTATTGTGTGTGTTATAGGTCAAGATTATTGTATAATGTAATAAAGATAAACCTGTAGTTATATCCTATTTTAAGGAACCATACTTGTATTAAACTCATGGCTCATAAACAGCAAGTACTAATGTAAGTATGTCAGTGTTGGTCTTTCAGGTTGTAACATCATGTGGACTTGCAGGAAGGTATCAACATTTCAGAGGTAACAGTGTTTCTCCAGAACATTGGTATCTAATAAAAATTCACAGAGTATCACAACCCAGAATATCAATATCAAAATATTCCCGATGAGAGTCTCAAATCTCTTATGATGATATATGCGGGCTATGGAATCAGATTCTTATTTAGAGATTCATCGGTTCAATTTCTGATCACAACTAGGTACAGATTAAAGCCTTCATGTAAGATTTGAGGTTTTCACAGCGGTGAGTATGAAGATTTCTGTCTTTTTTG